TGTGATCAGATGTCCATTTTAACTCCTAAAATCATAGCATTAGTTTACTTTCAGTAGCTCTTCTATGCCGTATGAGTCAAATGCTTCCCACAATCGAACCTCCAGGCTCATTGTTCAGCAAATGTTTATGTTCCCTGTATCCAACCATCTTTTTATCACCTTAGTTAGAGAATAAATTCACTGTAAAATAATCAAGAGCTGTGTGTGTGTTGCCTATTTCTACGTCCCTGCCGAGAGAATTGACCCTTTAGATATGAGACTGACTGACTGATTCAAGATAATTGAGCGATTATTAACTAATTGATCACTAGTAATAATTGTATAATTATTAAAACTACCTAGAGGCCCGGAGACTCTAGGATTATAACAACTCCGGTGGTGCCCTTAACGAGGAATCTGGTTTGATTTTATGAATAATAAAATTCATAACTGGGTATCAATTCTCATAAATTTATTAAATTGCATAACTAAATTTAGGTTCGCTACAGTAACGTTGACTAAATAAAACTGATGTCGCATAAACAATAAACCTGTAACCTGTTTTTAACTTACAGAGCACAACCATGTACCCTAATGTACAATGTTTCAACAATTAATGACTTATTATAAGCTTATAAACTACTGTAAGTCAACAAACCCTGTTGACTCTCAAACCCAGTGTAAGTTATAACTAAATAAAACTGTAAAGTAGGAATTGCAGTAATCCAGCCTAGAAGTAACAGATGCATGGACTATTTTTTCTGCATCATTTTTAGACAGGATGTTCCTGATTTTCGCAATATTACATAGGTGAAAAAAGGCAGTCCTTGAAATTTGCTTAATGTGAGACTTAAACAACATGTCCTGATCAAAGATAACTCCAAGATTCCTCACAGTGGTGCTGGAGGCCAGGGCGATGCCATCAAGGGAAACTATATCTTTAGATAATGCGTCACGGAGCATGCTTAGGCCCCAGAACAATAACTTCAGTTTTATCTGAGTTTAACATCACATTGAAGTGTAGCTAACTGATGAGTTTCATCTGGTTTGATCGAGCGGTTCCTTTAATGCCAATGAAATGTCCCAGTCTCTGTAATATGATCTGATGGTCAATGGTATCAAATGCAGCACTAAGATCTAATAAAACCAGTACAGAGACAAGTCCTTTGTCTGATGCAATATGGAGGTCATTAGTAATTTTCACCAGTGCTGCCTCTGTGCTATGATGAGCTCTAAATCCTGACTTAAAATCCTCAAATAAACTATTGCTCTGTAGAAAGTCACACAGCTGTTTAACAACTGCTTTCTCCAGAACCTTAGAGAGGAATGAAAGGTTAGATATAGGTCTATAGTTGGCTAAAACATCCGGATCAAGTTTGGGCTTTTTCAGAAGAGGTTTAATTACAGCTACTTTAAAGTACTGTGGTACATAGCCTGTTGATAAAGATAGATTGATCATATCTAGTATAGAGGTGCTGACTAAGGGTAAAACATCTTTAAGCAACCTAGTCGGGATGGGGTCTAAGAGGCAGGTTGATGGTTTAGATGAAGAAATTATTGAAGTTAGTTGGTAAAGATTGAGGGAAGCAAAACATATATCTGGTTCTATAGCTGTTTCTAAGGTTCCTGAGTTTAGAGATAAGTTGGTGCCAGTTGAGGGCAGGTCTTGGTGAATTTTGTCTCTAATAGCTAGAATTGTATCATTAAAGAAGCTCATGAAGTCGTAATGCTTGGCTCAGTAGAGCTGTGACTCTCTGTCAGCCTGGCTACAGTGCTGAAAAGTGATAGGGATAACTGCTATGAGAGGAAAATGTGACAAAGGAACACAGTTTTCTAATTGCATCATCACTGATTCTTTCAGCTCTCATCACAGTGTCTCCCAAGCACAAGAACAGCAGCCCCCTCAGTCTTCCAGCTGTTTATCTTGAAATCTCGGACGGAAACAAAATTCACTCATAAAGCTGCGGTCTCTGCTGATCCGACGCTTAGAATGTTCTATCAGTGATGTGGTGAAGCGAGCTCACAAACTCTATTTCAGCCCGGGGTTTGAGTGTCAGTCAGTGTCAGCAGATGTGAGAGTCTCCTTCTGATGACAGATGAGAGAGAAACTTGACACTTACTGCCATCTAGTGGTTTTATAAAAGAACTGCAATATTTTCTTTCACTCCCACATTGTGACCTGCTTCAGATGCCAAACACATTAATGTGGCTGAAATGTGTACATGAAGCATTTATTTTATTCACATCTGGATACTGATTTTAACAGATTTGCTGTTGCCGGCTATGTTGTGTGGAAGTCATCATTATAGTAAGTAATTTTTACCAGCTGTGACAGCATGTGGCATGTTTTCACCTCCTGAGTCTGTGTGAGTGTCATCGTGGCTAAATGTGTTCCTGGAGACACCTACTGTAGCGTGAACTACCACAGAGGTGATTTTCAGTACTATGCCAAGTGTTTATAAAGTATGTCTGTGGACAGATTTTCACAACACACTAGCGTCACAACTGTGCAAGATGCAGTCATGAAACTTTACAGGTGTTTAGTTTAGATCAAAATGAATGCTGAGCAAGGACACTGGACATTATTACATGTGCAGTACTGAGTACTCATCTAATAATGTAGTGATGATGACTTAAGAGTAGGGGAGACTGGGGAGTGTTGTAACACTTGATTAGTTGGAATGCTGTCAGTTTGACCGATCAGAAAAGAGCTGCGGTGATCTCATCAGTATCGTAAACTCCCATTATCCTTTTCAAGCTCACATTAGAAGGGGCATGTCTCTGTTAGCAATACTGTGAATTTTACAAAAAAAAAAATATTTTCAGGTAACAAAGTAATTTTTTAATCACGATTATTTTTTGCCTAGTGTTCATTCTACTGTAGATCCAATGTTGTAACTTATATCACCTAAAGTAGCTGTTTCTATAGTTTAATTTGATGTTTTATATTTCTACCCATCTCTATATCAGCAAAACAAACAACATACACAAATATTCTCATATTGTATGGGGTATTTTTGCCTTGTTTTGTCTGCATGTCCTGCATTTAGTTATATTGTTTGAGCTCATACAATTCCATACATAATTTATCCTTCTTCATCATGGTATTTCTTTTGCAAAAAAATGAATACAATGACACTTTTCTGAAGATTTTTTGTGCTTGTGTCTGCTGTACACACTTCACATCTAAATACACGCTGATTTGCAAATAAATGCAGTGTAAGATGAGTCTCTTGCTTTGAGGAAGTTTATTCGTAGCTCTGATGGTTTCTACAAAGTTTCACTGCTACAGGTTTTGGTCTCAGAGATGCAGAGAGAGGGGGAAGTGACTCTCTGAAGATGATCTGTTTAGAAACTCCAGGAAAATGAAAAACCTTCAGAGCTTGACTGATAACAGAAGTTTTCTGTATGTTGACTTGATGTGGTTTTATTTTGGATGTTCACAACAAAAGGTTTTTATGTTTATCATATATATATATACAGTGAGGAAAATAAGTATTTGAACACCCTGCCATTTTGCAAGTTCTCCCACTTAGAAATCATGGAGGGGTCTGAAATTGTCATCGTAGGTGCATGTCCACTGTGAGAGACATAATCGGAAAAAAAAAAATCCAGAAATCACAATGTATGATTTTATAACTATTTGTGTGATACAGCTGCAAATAAGATATTTGAACACCTGTCTATCAGCTAGAATTCTGACTCTCAAAGACCTGTTAGTCTGCCTTCAAAATGTCCACCTCCACTCCATTTATTATCCTAAATTAGATGCACCTGTTTGAGGTCGTTAGCTGCATAAAGACACCTGTCCACCCCATACAATCAGTAAGAATCCAACTACTAACATGGCCAAGACCAAAGAGCTGTCCAAAGACACTAGAGACAAAATTGTAAACCTCCACAAGGCTGGAAAGGGCTACGGGGAAATTGCCAAGCAGCTTGGTGAAAAAAGGTCCACTGTTGGAGCAATCATTAGAAAATGGAAGAAGCTAAACATGACTGTCCATCTCCCTCAGACTGGGGCTCCATGCAAGATCTCACCTTGTGGGGTCTCAATGATCCTAAGAAAGGTGAGAAATCAGCCCAGAACTACACGGGAGGAGCTGGTCAATGACCTGAAAAGAGCTGGGACCACTGTTTCCAAGGTTACTGTTGGTAATACACTAAGACGTCATGGTTTGAAATCATGCATGGCACGGAAGGTTCCCCTGCTTAAACCAGCACATGTCAAGGCCCGTCTTCAGTTTGCCAATGACCATTTGGATGATCCAGAGGAGTCATGGGAGAAAGTCATGTGGTCAGATGAGACCAAAATAGAACTTTTTGGTCATAATTCCACTAACCGTGTTTGGAGGAAGAAGAATGATGAGTACCATCCCAAGAACACCATCCCTACTGTGAAGCATGGGGGTGGTAGCATCATGCTTTGGGGGTGTTTTTCTGCACATGGGACAGGGCGACTGCACTGTATTAAGGAGAGGATGACCGGGGCCATGTATTGCGAGATTTTGGGGAACAACCTCCTTCCCTCAGTTAGAGCATTGAAGATGGGTCGAGGCTGGGTCTTCCAACATGACAATGACCAGAAGCACACAGCCAGGATAACCAAGGAGTGGCTCTGTAAGAAGCATATCAAGGTTCTGGCGTGGCCTAGCCAGTCTCCAGACCTAAACCCAATAGAGAATCTTTGGAGGGAGCTCAAACTCTGTGTTTCTCAGCGACAGCCCAGAAACCTGACTGATCTAGAGAAGATCTGTGTGGAGGAGTGGGCCAAAATCCCTCCTGCAGTGTGTGCAAACCTGGTGAAAAACTACAGGAAACATTTGACCTCTGTAATTGCAAACAAAGGCTACTGTACCAAATATTAACATTGATTTTCTCAGGTGTTCAAATACTTATTTGCAGCTGTATCATACAAATAAATAGTTATAAAATCATACATTGTGATTTCTGGATTTTTTTTTTTTAGATTTGTCTCTCACAGTGGACATGCACCTACGATGACAATTTCAGACCCCTCCATGATTTCTAAGTGGGAGAACTTGCAAAATGGCAGGGTGTTCAAATACTTATTTTCCTCACTGTATATATGTACACTCTTCACTCAATGGGCATTTTTGCAGTACACACAGAGACAGAGGAACACATTAGCAAAAATACCACATTTAAATCTGGATCTCCTATTTTCTACATTCAAGTGATTCACCAAGGTCCTTAGATACTCCTTTGGGTTCCATGGCCCTATTTCTACCAGCAGGCCAGACGTTGCAGTTAAACTGGTTGTGGTTGTCCCACTTTTCCTTGGTGGTGGTGTAAACACTTGTAACTAAGTAGCCTTGCTGGGTCTTCTGTTTGGGGAAGTTAATGCCATCCTTATAGAAGCCAGCCTTATTTCCAGAACCTTCTGACCAGGCGATGTAGTAATCCTGCAGCACAGGACCAGAGACCAGACACACCATAGAGACCACAGCTCCTTTGCTGATGTCCTCCTCTGGGAGAACATGGACTGTCACTTTTGGCTCACTCCCATCTGAAAGAGATCCTCAGTTTACCAGCAAGGTTCATACAGTTCAAGAAAAAGTATATGAAGCCTTCAGAATTACCTGGATTTCTGCAGAAATTGGTAAAGAAATATGATCTGATCTTCATCTAAGACAACAATAGACAAACACAGTCTGCTTAAACTAAGATGAAGATCAGTTCACATTTTATGACCAATTTATGCAGAAATCCAGGTAACTCGAAAGGTTTTACATACTTTTTCTTGAAATTGTACATACGCTTCGTTTGCTATACAGGTGCTGGTCATATAATTAGAATATCATCAAAAAGTTGATTTACTTCAGTAATTCCATTCAAAAAGTGAAACTTGTATAATGTATACATTCATTCCACACAGACTGATATATTTCAAGTATTCATTCCTTTTAATTTGATGATTATAACTGACAACTAATGAAAACCCCAAAATCAGTATCTCAGAAAATTTGAATATTGTGAAAAGGTTCAATATTGAACACACCTGGTGCCACACTCTAATCAGCTAATTAACTGCAAAGGCCTTTAAAAGGTCTCTCAGTCTAGTTCTGTAGGCTACACAATCATGGGAAAGACTCCTGACTTGACAGCTGTCCAAAAGACGACCATTGACACCTTGCACAAGGAGGGCAAGACACAAAAGGTCATTGCTAAAGAGGCTGGCTGTTCACAGAGCTCTGTGTCCAAGCACATTAATAGAGAGGCGAAGGAAGGAAGGAAAAGATGTTGTAGAAAAAAGTGTATAAGCAATAGGGATAACCGCACCCTGGAGAGAATAGTGAAACAAACCCATTCAAAAATGTGGGGGAGATTCACAAAGAGTGGACTGCAGCTGGAGTCACAGACGTATGCATGACATGGGTTTCAGCTGTCTCATTCCTTGTGTCAAGCCACTCTTGAACAAGACACAGCGTCAGAAGCGTCTCGCCTGGGCTAAAGACAAAAAGGACTGGACTGCTGCTGAGTGGTCCAAAGTTATGTTCTCTGATGAAAGTAGAAGAAGAGAGGAGAGGCACAGAATCCACGTTGCTTGAAGTCCAGTGTAAAGTTTCCACAGTCAGTGATGGTTTGGGGTGCCATGTCATCTGCTGGTGTTGGTCCACTGTGTTTTCTGAGGTCCAAGGTCAACGCAGCCGTCTACCAGGAAGTTTTAGAGCACTTCATGCTTCCTGCTGCTGACCAACTTTATGGAGATTTCATTTTCCAACAGGACTTGGCACCTGCACACAGTGCCAAAGCTACCAGTACCTGGTTTAAGGACCATGGGATCCCTGTTCTTAATTGGCCAGCAAACTCGCCTGACCTTAACCCTATAGAAAATCTATGGGGTATTGTGAAGAGGAAGATGCGATACGCCAGACCCAACAATGCAGAAGAGCTGAAGGCCACTATCAGAGCAACCTGGGCTCTCATAACACCTGAGCAGTGCCACAGACTGATCGACTCCATGCCACGCCACATTGCTGCAGTAATTCAGGCAAAAGGAGCCCCAACTAAGTATTGAATGCTGTACATGCTCATACTTTTCATGTTCATACTTTTCAGTTGGCCAACAATTCTAAAAGTCCTTTTTTTGTATTGGTCTTAAGTAAAATTCTAATTTTTGGAGATACTGAATTTGGGATTTTCATTAGTTGTCAGTTTTAATCATCAAAATTAAATGAAATAAACATTTGAAATATATCAGTCTGTGTGTAATGAATGAATATAATATCTGTTGTAATATTTGAATGGAATTACTAAAATAAATCAATTTTTTGATGATATTCTAATTATATGACCGGCACCTGCACATAGATTATGACATGCTTGTGTGTGTAAATCGGCTGCTTACCAATCATTCTCTATCACTCAGTAACATACCTCCTTTGTGGACAGTCAGATCTTGAATAACTGGTATCATGTTGTCTTTACTGGCAGAACAGCGCACTTTGTTGACTCTCTGCCACTCAGTCAGACTACGAATCATCGTGCTGGTTTTGCTGTGCTGTCCACCGCCGGATTTTGTTGATTCAGGAATGTTGTTGGTCACAGCTTGTCCATTAATTTGCCAAGTGATATGAGTTTCATTTACTATGGTCTCGTCCTGTCCAGTAATGACACACTCCAACTCTACGAGATTGCTGGTGAAAATTTTGGAGGGACTTGGTTGGTTCAGTGTCACTGTGATAGGAGCTACATAAAAGAGAGCAACAGAGAAAACCAATCATAAATATACATTCACAGTACAATATTTAAGACTCAAAACTACCCTTTGTTCTTGCTTTTCCTTTTGTTTTAAAATATTGAAGTCAATCTTGTGTAATGTAACAAAAATGTCGACATACCACATTTATCTGAAACAGCACACTTCTTAAGCTGTTAGCCAATATAACAAAAAAAAATGCCATATTTGAAGGGGGAGTTCATTCTAAATTCAGAAATTCATATTTCTCTTCTATCTGTAGATATGTGTATGCATCTAGATTGTTTTGGTGTGAGTTAACAAGTTTTGGTGTCACACTCTGCCTGTCAGCCTTGCCATGTTTGGCACTTTTGAGTTTGGTCAGTTGATTATCTGTTATTTTGGGCTGTTGGGTATTGTGGTTCTGTCTTGTCTATCGTCTAGTGTTCAGTAACCTGCGTCATGTCTGTTAATCCCTCTGCGTGTCAGTATCTCTGTTTTCCCCTGCTCTCTCTCTGCCTGCCTGTGTCTCGTTAGTCTCACTAGTATCACCTGTGTACTTCCTCCCAGCTCGTTAACCGTGTGTGTGTGTGTGTGTGTGTGTGTGTGTATCCTTGCTTGCTTCCCTCAGTCTTGGTCATTGTCGTGTGTATATGCGCTGTCGCATGTTGTTGTGTTTAGCCTGCCTTGCTCGTTGTGTCTCCCTGTTTCCCTGCTTTCTGGATTATTTTACCTTCTTGGATTTTTTCTGTTTGGATCACCTTGTTTTTGGACTCTGTTAATCAGCCACTCTGCCAGTAAGTGTGCTCGCCTTTTGTTTGTTAATAAACCTGTTGAACTGTACCGGTCAGCCTACGTGTCCTGCATCCAACCTGCCTCACCACACACAGCTGTGACATTTGGAGATCTGCCATAGAGATGTCTTTTTTTGAATGTAATGATTCTATATGGCACTCGACTTGAGGTGCTGAAAGCTCCCAAAAAATAAAATAAGCTCAACTGCAATGTCTCTTTCCAGAATGACCATGACAAGTTACTTCAGAAAATCCAGACTTTGCAGTCAAACTAAAAATGGAAAGAAAATTCCTACATGAAATTGCTCACAATTTGTAACTGCTAAATTCTCCACTATGTTCATTAGTCACTAAAAACTTAAAACAACTGGCTGCTGATAAGAGCAGAGGTGCTAGACAGAAAACCTAAACAATGAGAGAAAAGAAGCTAAAAGGCTCCATAAACCAGCAGCGCTATATAATAATTCTCTGTGGGTTCAACACCTTTCAGATTACAGTCATATGATTTATCGTTATTATAAAAAAAAAAATTTAACAGTGCTGCTTTAATCAGCTAATTCTATTTTAAATTAAACATGAAAAATTTGTTGGATGGCCATAATATTGTCATTACACTGTATGCTCTTATTATGTTTTAATTTTATCTGAGTAAAACCTGATGTGCTTTCTGACATCTTTATTCAGAGACTTGTCAGACACTGCACAAGTCAAGACCTTCCCTATTTTCACCAAGTTTAGTGATAATGTCAAGCAAATAAACATAAATTAAATACATGTGTATCTGAGCTGGTCCCAGGAGCAGACTCATCAAGCTCTGCATTACATTCATTAAAATGTCCTCCCCACCACTTTCTCCACACACATTAAAATGACTGTATTCTACCTTAAAACACTCCTAAAAAAAATAACACCTAAAGAAATAAGACTGAAATGTGACTATGAATATATTAATATTGATATAAGTGAAAATGTATAAACATGAACCAATCAAACATTTGGTCAACATGAACACATGCACACAGGTTTGTGTGCTTTATGCTGTATCACATGTTGACCTTCAGAGTTGTAGCCTCCTCACAAGGGCCCCTTTGTGTTCATAAATCTGATCTGTTATGCAAAAAGGTAAGGTAAAAACAAAATTTCCAAGTCAGTTTACAAAGAACAATGTTGATATTTGCAACAAAATTTCAATTGTAAACAAATTCAATAATTACTTTGCAAATATTGGCCCTACTTTGTCACAACAAATTCAAGATGGAAATACCAATGGTAGCACAATACCAGATAATGTTAGCAGTGTTTTTCTTGAAAGTATACAAGCTAATGACATATTGACTATTGTCCAGAAGTGTGCCAATAAAAAATCAAATGATTATAATATGAATATGGTATTGATAAAGAAAATTAATGTGATTATTGAGCCTTTTACCTAATTTGTCATTTACTTCAGGGATATTTCCAGACGGCATGAAAATAGCCAAAGTAATTCCATTGTTTAAAAAGAAAACCAATCTGAATTTTCTAATTATAGACCAATATCATTACTCCCACAGTTCTCTAAAATTCTGGAGAAGTTATTTGCTATTAGACTGAATAAATTTCTAAATGATTTTAAGATTTTTAAGTAACAGTCAATATGGGTTTCGTCCTAATCATTCAACTGCTACAGCAATTATGAAACTAACTGAAGAAATTACCAATGCTATAGATAAAAGGCACTATTTAGTATGTATCTTTGTCGATCTTCAAAAAGCGTTTGATACGCTGGATCACAAGATATTATTGAATAAATTATATAAATATGGTATCAGGTGTGGAACACCAATGGGTTAGCAGCTATTTAAAAAAAACAGTTTGTCGAAACTGACAACACAAAGTCTAAAAATTGTAACATAACTTGTGGGGTACCATAAGGATCGGTCCTAGGACATATACTTATTCTTCTATATGTAAATGATATTTTATTTGAGTCTCAGATACTTCGGTGCATTCTGTTTGCGGATGACATTACTTTCTTCTACTCAGGAAAAAACAAAAGATGTACTACAAAAGCAAAACTAAATTTATGATATTTTGCAGTAAAAAGAAATATGTTGAATCATCGTTAATCAATGGATTGGAAATTGAAACGGCACATGAGATTAAGTTTCTAGGTGTCATGATTGATGAACATTTGACATGGAAATCACATATTGATAATATCAAAGTAAAGGTATCCCAAATAATAGGAGTGCTGTATAAAGTCAAAGATTCTCTGTATAAGAATGCATTGTTTTGTTGTATAATTCATTGATTGGTCCATATCTGACTTATTGCATTGAAGTGTGGGGAAGTGCCTGCAAAATATACATTAATCCAATTTTACTCTTACAGAAAAGACCGATTAGAATTACCAGTGGAAGTAGATACAGAGATCCAACTAATCCGCTATTCATACAACTAAAAACTCTGAAATTTAGTGAATTAGTAGAGTATAACCTTCTAAAAACCATGTATAAAGCTCATCTGGAAAGCTTACCAAACAATTTGCAAAACAGATTCACCAAGAGGAAAAGTATATATATGAACTAAAAAGGTACTGAGGTTTTTACAAAACCCAGCTTCAAATCGGCTGTAAAGGAAAAATGTATCACAATCAAAAGGAGTCAGTTTGTGGAACAGTCTTGATTGTGAAATTAAAACTTCTAAGTCCATTTATGTGTTTAAGAAGTATGTTAAAATATCAATGCTGCAGAAATATAATACTGCGAAATAACAGATCAATTTTATTGATGTAATTTTGTGTTTTAAAGTCTTAGAAAAAGAAACGGCTGCATGAGACAGCTCAAATGAATTGGAACTGTAAATGATTTTGTGTTGATGGGGGCAGACATAAGTTTTTACTTCTTTCTGCTCTTTTTCATTCATGTTAAATGCTGTCGTTGCATTGTTTTAAATGAATGAAATAAACAATTTAAATAAATCTAGTCTTCTTCCCTTATCAGGCCCTCCTTGCCTGGGCCTTATATGTTTATGAATCTTAGTTTACTCCAATCCAGCCTGGCTCCAGTTGCTATTAACTTTATGTGAGAATGCAACAAGGCCTCGTTTGGATGTTTAATATTGAACCATGGTTGTCACCCTAACTTCACAAGCGACTAAGCAGTGCCAGCTAAATGTGAGAAGCTGCTTCCTAAATGTTATGTACGCTAATTTTTGCTGATGAGAAAGAGATAACAGAGTTGTTACTGTTGGAGCTTACTGAATTTAGCCAACAAAATAATTTTCTCCTTCTCAGGATTGGTTCGGGACATCTTTACTATGATGCACTGAACACCAGTGAACGTCACCAATACTAAATGTTAATTCTCAGCTGTGCTCACCTACAACATCCTTTATAGTTCTTTTAAACGGCGTTTCAGAGGACTCATGTTTGACAACACAAGAATACGTAGACTCCTTGTCCTCAGTTTTGGATGTGTTTAGTCTGCTGCTCATTGAATAAGCGCTGCTCTCTGTGTGTTTCCAGGCAGGACTGTTGGTGTAGCGAGCTGAAGGGAGTCTCTGGCCATTCTCCTCCCAGTACACCATGATGTTAGACGGGAAAAATCCAGAAACTAGACAAATAAGTGTGAGCACATCTGAGGTAGACAGCTCAGAGGCAGTTGGTTGTATTATCTTCACTGTTGGTGGGTACAGGTCTTCAGAAAAACAAAAAGAAGACAAAAGTAAATAAGGGTTTATATTATGGCTTTTTTCAATTCATGATTTAGTCACAACCAGCACAAGCATTATGGAGATTTGTCTTCTGATGTTTCACACTACCTCTGCTTTTGCTTATATGGTCCTGGTAGCCCTGGTTGGAACATCTGTGCTTCCCCTCACAAGACACTTGTTTATATGCATGCCAATCCTCCGCTGACACTTTGAGGAAGCTCCGCAAAGACTCCGTCCCATTGCTGTGATTCACTGGTGGCTCCGTATGGACATTGAGAGAACCACTGTTCCCACCTACTTTCCAGGTGATGGAGAAATCATCAAGAGAAGGGCCAATGAGAAGACAGGTGACAGTCACCTGTCCCTTGCTCTGAAGCTCCTGGAGGGGTGGTCCCTGAACATATACGGCAACTATCTGAGACGATGCTGGAGTTACTGAAAACATTGAAGTTGGAGAAAATGCAGCACCTATCAAATCATGATTATGAGATAAAAGCTTGACAGATTCAGAAACTGTGTGAGTGTATTTATTCTACACATAAAGCATTAACATGATTACCGTTTCCTTTTTACCTGAACAGATGCTGATGTTCTTTTCAACTGTTTTACTCAGAGACTTGTCAGACACTAAACAAGTGAAGACCTTCCCTGTTTTCCACTCTGTCTGAGGGATGTGAAGTTGACTGGTTACTGCCACACGTCCATCTGCACTCATGCTGATGTCATTAGTTGATGGAGATGCTTGCTGAGACTCAGGAAACCATTTCATTTGAGGGTTGAAGCCCCATCCAGAGCACAAGATCCTCTGTGGACCTGACTCTTTACTGGGTACCTGAAGGAGCTCCACTGATGGGTCCACTAAACATTATGTGAGCAAATGAATGAAGCGCTGAATCAATCACATTAACAATTATTAAGAATAAAATGTACTGAGAGTAATAAATCAACAGCGTTTCAGGAAAAAAGAGAAACTCCTCTCACCAAAAATATTGCCAGTGGGGTTTGACTTGAAGCTGCTGGAGAAACCTTGATTCACTTTGCAGGTGAAACTTGTGTCTCTCTTCCAGTAGTTTGGAGGGACAGTGAAGCGTCTACTGACTGAATGGAGGCCTGGGGCTTCAGGAAGATCAACATACTGTTTGTCAGAGATGTCAACACTGTTGGCCTGAAAGATGATGTAGAGGTCAATGGAGGAGAGTTGTGTGACGTCACACTCCAGCACAGCACTGTTTCCCTTCAGCAAATCTGGGAGAGATCTCCTGATCTCCACTGATGGAGCTGTAACTGCAGGCGCTGGATGATACAGAAAGAAAACAAGGCAGAATCATATATTTTAGGTACTTTGCTGTCACAACACACCTGATTTTTATTTTGTCACCTCCTCTGACCTGCAACATTTATTGTCTCCTCAGTGGATGAGAAGCAGCGATGTTCAGCTTTACATTTCAGAAGCTTCAGTTGTTTCCACCGACTAAAGGAAACTGTCAGAGTGCTTATTAAATGAGTTGTATTTGTGACCTGGTTCACTTGGTGACTGGATGGGGGTTGCCCATCCATCAGCCAGGTCACCTTTGCTTCAAACACTGTGCGGACTGAACACGTTGCCGTCACATCAGACGTTGACTCCATTACTGTCTTGAAGCTGGGAACCTCCACATGAACAGAAGGAGGGGCGCTTGAATAAACTGAGAGTCCAAAATACAAGTAAAGAGTCATGAAGCAAAATCAAATCCAATATTGTCTTCAACATTACAAGACCATGTTGATATTATGCTTTTAAACTGCATTATTTAATATTAAATTTTTTATATTAAATCAAATTACCATGTAATATGAAAGGAATCTCTTATAACAAAAACACAGAGAAGTATCATTCTGCTTCTCTATAGAAAGTTTCAGCTTTTTTCAACTTTTTGTTACTGCAGATTGAGCATCCTGCACATTTAGTTGTTGAGTCTCATCATCTCTGACCAAACATGGTGTATGTTGCCTGTCCAGCACTAAATGGCAGACATTAATATGTTACTGAGTGGCAGAGGAACAGTAGAACATCTAGCAAAAGAATCAGATAAGTGTGATTCTTGTGAAGAGTTATACAAAGATCAGTGAATATTGGATTTACATCCACCAGGTGGCCAGAAACACAATTCTAAATAATGTTAATGTGGCTCTGTTTCAGCTCAATACTACAGCAGGCCATTGTTTGCATGTCAGCCTAACAATGCTGTAAGCAGATAGAAGGTGGTGGATGAGCATCTACCAGCTTCTTTGGATTATTCTTCTGCCTCCTAGTTAACATAAATTGATTATATCAGCTTTATATTCAAATAAAACAAGTTGCGTGATAGTTGTATAATTCTCATTAGTTATTTGGACGTAATTGTTGCTCTCCTTATGTTTTCATTTTAGCTGAGCAGAGGTTAATTTCCCTCCTGACAGTCTTGTTCAGAGATCTGTCAGACACTTCACAAGTGAAGACCTTATACTATAATATTTACTCTCCTTTTAGTTCTGTTTTGGTCTCTACAAGTTGTGAGGTAAATATATTGGTCTTGAACTAAAGGCTCTACTGTGTTCACCTGTCACTAACTTTATTTGTCTGTAGTTTGGTGCTGGGCAGGTAGTGTTTGGTGGGTTTATCAGAGTTTTCCCCTAAAAACAGTTGGCTGCTGAGAAGAGCAGAGCTGCAGAAAACAAAGCCAATGATAGAAAAGAAGCTAAAAGGCTCCATAGACCTGTATAGCAGCAGAGTTGGGTGACAACTCTCTGTGGGTTCGACACTTTTCACATTACACAGTCATCTGATTAATCGTTATTATAAATACATTAAACACTGCAGCTTTAATCAGCTAATTCTGTTTTAAATTAAAAGTGAAAACCTTGTTGGATGGCCATATTATTCTCATTAGTCTGCAGGTTATTGTTGGTACTGTCCTTATGTTTTAATTTTACCTGAACAGATGCTGATGTTCTTTTCAACTGTTTTACTCAGAGACTTGTCAGACACTAAACAAGTGAAGACCTTCCCTGTTTTCCACTCTGTCTGAGGGATGTGAAGTTGACTGGTTACTGCCACACGTCCATCTGCACTCATGCTGATGTCATTAGTTGATGGAGATGCTTGCTGAGACTCAGGAAACCATTTCATTTGAGGGTTGAAGCCCCATCCAGAGCACAAGATCCTCTGTGGACCTGACTCTTTACTGGGTACCTGAAGGAGCTCCACTGATGGGTCCACTAAACATTATGTGAGCAAATGAATAAATCAATGAATCGGTCGATCACATTATCAGTTCATTGTTCAAAGAACAGAAAGAGAAACTCCTCTCACCAAAAATATTGCCAGTGGGGTTTGACTTGAAGCTGCTGGAGAAACCTTGATTCACTTTGCAGGTGAAACTTGTGTCTCTCTTCCAGTAGTTTGGAGGGACAGTGAAGCGTCTACTGACTGAATGGAGGCCTGGGGCTTCAGGAAGATCAACATACTGTTTGTCAGAGATGTCAACACTGTTGGCCTGAAAGGTGATGTAGAGGTCACTGGAGGAGAGTTGTGTGACGTCACACTCCAGCACAGCACTGTTTCCCTTCAGCAAATCTGGGAGAGATCTCCTGATCTCCACTGATGGAGCTGTAACTGCAGGCGCTGGATGATACAGAAAGAAAACAAGGCAGAATCATATATTTTAGGTACTTTGCTGTCACAACACACCTGATTTTTATTTTGTCACCTCCTCTGACCTGCAACATTTATTGTCTCCTCAGTGGATGAGAAGCAGCGATGTTCAGCTTTACATTTCAGAAGCTTCAGTTGTTTCCACCGACTAAAGGAAACTGTCAGAGTGCTTATTAAATGAGTTGTATTTGTGACCTGGTTCACTTGGTGACTGGATGGGGGTTGCCCATCCATCAGCCAGGTCACCTTTGCTTCAAACACTGTGCGGACTGAACACGTTGCCGTCACATCAGACGTTGACTCCATTACTGTCTTGAAGCTGGGAACCTCCACATGAACAGAAGGAGGGGCGCTTGAATAAACTGAGAGTCCAAAATACAAGTAAAGAGTCATGAAGCAAAATCAAATCCAATATTGTCTTCAACATTACAAGACCATGTTGATATTATGCTTTTAAACTGCATTATTTAATATTAAATTTTTTATATTAAATCAAATTACCATGTAATATGAAAGGAATCTCTTATAACAAAAACACAGAGAAGTATCATTCTGCTTCTCTATAGAAAGTTTCAGCTTTTTTCAACTTTTTGTTACTGCAGATTGAGCATCCTGCACATTTAGTTGTTGAGTCTCATCATCTCTGACCAAACATGGTGTATGTTGCCTGTCCAGCACTAAATGGCAGACATTAATATGTTACTGAGTGGCAGAGGAACAGTAGAACATCTAGCAAAAGAATCAGATAAGTGTGATTCTTGTGAAGAGTTATACAAAGATCAGTGAATATTGGATTTACATCCACCAGGTGGCCAGAAACACAATTCTAAATAATGTTAATGTGGCTCTGTTTCAGCTCAATACTACAGCAGGCCATTGTTTGCATGTCAGCCTAACAATGCTGTAAGCAGATAGAAGGTGGTGGATGAGCATCTACCAGCTTCTTTGGATTATTCTTCTGCCTCCTAGTTAACATAAATTGATTATATCAGCTTTATATTCAAATAAAACAAGTTGCGTGATAGTTGTATAATTCTCATTAGTTATTTGGACGTAATTGTTGCTCTCCTTATGTTTTCATTTTAGCTGAGCAGAGGTTAATTTCCCTCCTGACAGTCTTGTTCAGAGATCTGTCAGACACTTCACAAGTGAAGACCTTATACTATAATATTTACTCTCCTTTTAGTTCTGTTTTGGTCTCTACAAGTTGTGAGGTAAATATATTGGTCTTGAACTAAAGGCTCTACTGTGTTCACCTGTCACTAACTTTATTTGTCTGTAGTTTGGTGCTGGGCAGGTAGTGTTTGGTGGGTTTATCAGAGTTTTCCCCTAAAAACAGTTGGCTGCTGAGAAGAGCAGAGCTGCAGAAAACAAAGCCAATGATAGAAAAGAAGCTAAAAGGCTCCATAGACCTGTATAGCAGCAGAGTTGGGTGACAACTCTCTGTGGGTTCGACACTTTTCACATTACACAGTCATCTGATTAATCGTTATTATAAATACATTAAACACTGCAGCTTTAATCAGCTAATTCTGTTTTAAATTAAAAGTGAAAACCTTGTTGGATGGCCATATTATTCTCATTAGTCTGCAGGTTATTGTTGGTACTGTCCTTATGTTTTAATTTTACCTGAACAGATGCTGATGTTCTTTTCAACTGTTTTACTCAGAGACTTGTCAGACACTAAACAAGTGAAGACCTTCCCTGTTTTCCACTCTGTCTGAGGGATGTGAAGTTGACTGGTTACTGCCACACGTCCATCTGCACTCATGCTGATGTCATTAGTTGATGGAGATGCTTGCTGAGACTCAGGAAACCATTTCATTTGAGGGTTGAAGCCCCATCCAGAGCACAAGATCCTCTGTGGACCTGACTCTTTACTGGGGACCTGAAGGAGCTCCACTGATGGGTCCACTAAACATTATGTGAGCAAATGAATAAATCAATGAATCGATCGATCACATTATCAGTTCATTGTTCAAAGAACAGAAAGAGAAACTCCTCTCACCAAAAATATTGCCAGTGGGGTTTGACTTGAAGCTGCTGGAGAAACCTTGATTCACTCTGCAGGTGAAACTTGTGTCTCTCTTCCAGTAGTTTGGAGGGACAGTGAAGCGTCTACTGACTGAATGGAGGCCTGGGGCTTCAGGAAGATCAACATACTGTTTGTCAGAGATGTCAACACTGTTGGCCTGAAAGGTGATGTAGAGGTCACTGGAGGAGAGTTGTGTGACGTCACACTCCAGCACAGCACTGTTTCCCTTCAGCAAATCTGGGAGAGATCTCCTGATCTCCACTGATGGAGCTGTAACTGCAGGCGCTGGATGATACAGAAAGAAAACAATGAAGAATTATTTTAGGTACTTTGCTGTCACAACACACCTGATTTTTATTTTGTCTTCTCCTCTGACCTGCAACATTTATTGTTTCCTCAGAGGATGAGAAGCAGCGATGTTCAACTTTACATTTCAGAAACTTCAGTTGTTTCCACCGACTCGAGGAAACCGTCAGAGTGCTTATTAAATGAGTTGTATTTGTGACCTGGTTCACTTGGTTACTGGATGGGGGTTGCCCATCCATCAGCCAGGTCATCTTTGCTTCAAACACTGTGCGGACTGAACACGTTGCCTTCACATCAGACGTTGACTCCATTACTGTCTTGAAGCTGGGAACCTCCACATGAACAGAAGGAGGGGCGCTTGTCTGTGCTGCAGGAAAAAAATTATATCAGCAACATTTATATTATGTTTTAAAATGGTATGGTTTGTGTTCTGTTTTCCATCTGTATTAAAATTTTCTTATGCATTGTATTTTACTTATTGTGAACCACTTTGTGATTTTTATCTGTGAAAGGTGCTATACAAATAAACTTTACTTACTTACTACTATGTTTATGTCAGAAATTGTCATATTGTGTGTTAAGACATTATTTGTACATACTTACTTTGACAAATACTTATTGTTTTTCGAAATTCACTGTGATTGTGAATGGACCTGCATGTAAAACTTGAGCCACCTGCCCACTGTTTCATATTTGGCTCAATCTCACTGCTTAGACTGAAGGTTTTCTCCACTCCCTCCACACTCTGCAGCTTCCTTTGGGTTTGCATAATGTTTAGAGGTTGGTTGTCCCGTTGCCACATCACACTCAGTTGGTCTGGAAAGAAGCCACTTAGTGTGCAGATGAGTCTGACTGGTGAGGCCCCAAATTCACCTTCCCACACAGGGTGTAATGTGATGTTTGGAGGGACAACCCGCAGTCCTGAGACAGAGAAGAGATTACTTTGTCTTTACTTGCCTCTTTCTAAACATTGGATGTGTAGCTTTTTTAAAACATGAGCTGTCTGTCTTCACTTATATATCCCATCAGATTTTGGTCAACTAATTAACCATGTTGTCTTAATTCAAAGTGTAATGTCTTTGTATTTAGGCTAGATGGCAGAGTTTTACTGTGTCTGGTGTCTTAAGGTGGATATGGTGCTGGAAGTTTCAGAAGCATTAAGTAAAACCCAGTTCCCCAGAAAGTACCATAAATCACCCCTGGTTAACAAAAATACTGAATAGCCTATATGTAGGCAGAAAGGATTTTCTGTACTAAGTTATGAAACTTGCACACATTATGCACATATCATTGCGCCCCTTAAAATACTTACTGTAGCTTGTCACTAAAGTGTGCAGTTTTATTTTATTTGTATGCTCTATGCTGTTTTTATCTTCCTTATTGACAGATTGCAGTATATTTGTTTCCAACACCGTTTCTCAAATTTCAGACTTTTTTTATATGAAGATGAAAACCATATTATTGCAAATTCACAAAAATGCACTGTGGAACTATCTGGGAGTATACGTGTAGCCTAAATATGTAAATAACTATAGTACAGGCCTATGTTGTTTTAATTAGCAGTTAAGTTCTGTGTGTGTTGCATGAAGGGACTACAATCTTTCTTTTCCTCATACAACCATTTGTTATATAATGATAAATAAACTACCTTGAACCTTGAAGTAGTTTTGCAGTACATTTACAGCCCAGTAAAATCTTTCTTTGACTAAGGCTATTCCATTCAACACTGTATTTTACATCAACTGGCAAAAGCAGTCAATTAAGTATGACATTATTTATAGATTTACCAAACTGCTTGAATATTCTGTGCAATTTATACATTTAATTAAAACAACTTTGTTGCACAATCATAAACTATGTTTACAGTTCCACCATGTAAACTTACTAGATTTCAAATCAACTACTAAAAAAAGGATAGCATAATTCTTACTTGGTTTTGTGATAGTAGCCTGTCCATTTCCTCCTGCATGTGGCACGGCACATTGGAAAGTCTCACTAGCGTCCCAGTCCCGTTTCCTCACTTTGATTAGACTTACTCTCGTGTAAATGTTGTCGTACTGTACTGGAGGGCACTGAATGAAGTCCGTCAAGGCAGTCCCATTTTTGCTCCATGTGAAGGTCAGTGAGGAGGGTGAGAAGTCGGTGGCAATACAGCCAAGGGTGACCATGTCTCCAGTCCCAGAACCACATTGCCCCAGAGGAAGCACAGTTGGTGCAGCTGGAGTGGCTAACAGAAGAAAAACAAACATGCAATCAAAATAGCAAGCTACCAATAAAATTTAAAATACACTTTCACCAAGTCAGTTAAGTTGATCTATAGTGCAACAAAGCACAGCATGTAAAATGTGGATATTGCAAGTGTCCTACACAAAGCTTTATGTTTCCCTGTCTCCTTTATTTAGAGGTCTGCTGCACTAAGGTTAACCTTCAGTCCCTTAATGATAGTATATGTGGTAGCTTTTTGTTAGTTTATACATAAATACTCAAATCACTTTAAACTGCAACTTTGAAAATAATCATTAGTTATTATTTTAAATTTAAAAAAATGAAGGTGCAAAGTTGATAAACATCAAGTAACTGAGTTAATGTCATTCTTACAAAAACTTACAAAAATAGTATTCTTATGAAACAGTTACTGTTGTACCCTTTCCCCAGAAGTCAAATGCACCAGTAGCATAGTGCTGAATCTACTAAATGTTGAATGAGCATCTACCTAAAATTTTTAAGGAATCCCATTATATTATAAAATCCACTTAAATTAAATTAAATCAATCCACTTAATATAAACAAGCCATAAATATGCACCATTGCATCCTGCTGAGAATATCGCTGTTTGTCACACTGTGGGCATGTCTGCTCTGGTCTTTAGTTTCATCATTATTTTGATTATTCTGTTATAGACTGTTCTTGTTACTCAGTTTGTTGTTTGGTTTGCCTGTCTATCCTGTTTTAGTTTTTGCCTTGTGATGTTTAATTTATTTTTCTGCATTTCAGTTTGCTTCTGCCTGTTCCCCCCAGTAATCCCTCTGCCTGCTTGTCTACCTGTTTTCCCAGTGATCACTCTGCCTGGGTGTGTGTGCTTGATTAGTCCCTCATGTCTGTCACCTGTGTTGCTCCCGCCCTGCTTGTTAATCGTGTGTGTATCTTCCTGTTTCTGTGTCCTGCATTTGGGTCCACCAACCTGCTCTCCCACGCACTCGCATCACAATTCGTGACAAACAGAACTTACTGTATTAAAACATTTTACTTTTGAAGTGACACTTGACATGCTGGAAAGTGACAAAATGACTTAAAAATGACATTTCAAAACTTACCCTACTGTAGATATGAAATGGCACAAATCTTACCTGATGTAATTGTTACCATCGTGCCCCAGTAATCAAAAGCTCTGTCACAGTGTAATGTGTCAACATATCCAACATGGAAAAATAGCACCTGAAAGATGCCGTTGATGCCATTAAGGTTTAAATATACTGTATTAAACTGTGTAATTACGACTTTTTCAATATGAAGACATTTTACCTGTTGTGACAGTCACCATTGTTCCTTTTCCCCAGTAGTCAAAGTAGTGGTCAGAGTGACAGGTTTCAATAGCACTTCAGTGCAAAAATACTTTACAACTTTGATCATCTAATAAATTGTTACTTAGTAAACTACAGTGTATACCTACTAATTTAAGATTAAGTTCTAGTTTAATTGCAGGATAAATTATATATTTTTTATGATAAACCAGAAAATTATTGAATTGTCTACACTCAAAATATATTTGATTATTACTCATGAGAAGTTACAGTGAATTGTGTCCCTTTCCTCCAGTAGTCAAAGTAGCCATCACAGTGATATATTACATCTGCTTCTAATACAAACACTAAAACTGCTGTTTGAACATACATGTTTCACTGACAAGGCAATTCCAACTGTTTTATTTATGAACCACTTCCCTTGAGATTTCCAAGCCAAACCAATAAGCTAAAAGCAACTAGTGATTTTCTGTATGGTCAGCAGTTTGAGAAAATCAAATCATTTGTTAAGTGCAGTTGTATGGCAGCAGAAACATAAAGACCTATCAATGACAATATTTGTACCGTGTGATCACTTTATCTGTACTGGAAAACACAATCATTTTGAACGCAGGCCTTTGGCAAGCAAGTCACTTATTGATTTTATTATCAAGCATTGTCTAAACTTTAACCACTGGTTCATATTCTGGAGAAGCTGGAGACACAAATAAAAGTTAGTTAAAGGTCAGTAAAGATCTTCACCTGCCCAGCAGACAGTTAAAAGCAGCAGTCCTGTCCTATAGTCCATCATGTTAAACTGTGTGTCCACTGTTCTCTGTCATCCTCTCTGCAGTCAGATAAGTAGAGGTGGAAGACATCTGAGTTTTGCACTGACGCCTCCTCACAGGGAGGAGAGAGCTGGGTTGGACTTGGCTTTCACTTTACAATTTGATGAAACTGGAGAATCAATGTTCAGGATTCATTCAAACTTTCTTTGACATTCTTTCATTTCATTTTAGTGAAATGTTTATAATTATTAACACCACAAATACATTTCCCACATTTTAATAAAACTTCTAAAGTAATAATTAGTTCAAATATAATTTATTATTTATTTAATTTAATTTATTATAATTAATCAAAGTATTGGTCAAATCATGTACATAATTGAAATACTGTAGAGTATATTGCTGTGTTAGCTGAAATGATGATAATAATAATAAATAGAGGCTTACCACATGTATAACTTATTATATTGTAACCATCTAGGGTTGGGCCTAACAGACATCACGACGTTGAGCCGACATCATGGTTGTAAAACCTCCACCTCCCCAGCAAAAAAAATCTCAGATTTTTACATTACACCACCCTGTGAAAGCAGGTTTTAATTGCTAATATTCTTATTGTTTTAAATTATGCTCTGCACCTGCCTCGGAATTCTCTTCTGCCCACACCCTGACACACTCTCACACCTCAGGTAAACAGCCCGGCTTGCCCCGCCTTTCTCTGTCTCTCTCTCTCTCCCCCTGTCTGGTCCATTTTCTCCATCAGCAGTATGTAAAATTCGCCTAAAATACTGAGAACTCGTCTTTTTTCCGTAAATCTCCACCTGCGATCCCTTATCAGGGCAGCAGGTGAGCTGCAGGTCGGCTTATTAATGACGCAGCCTATCAAACAACTGTAACCAACATCTGCACCCTGTGTGTTCACCGTTGCTTTACCTGGTCCATGCACAAATTATCCACCGCGACTTGTAACATAAGTTAATAGTCTACCACTTTTTTTTACTGAGTGAAGTCTGTGCGAGAACACATGCACTTAAGAGGAATGCTGCCCCCCACAAGCCCGCGCACCGATGACCTCGTCCATCCCGATTTTTTTGTAGACATCCTCTGATGGAAATTTTGTAGACATCGCCCAACCCTATAACCATCTTTGCACCTGTATCCCGTGACTTGTGATGTGCTGCTGACTAGTATTTAGGTCCATTTTCTTGAGGTTGCTACTGGGGAACATGTGGGTGTTACTAATCTTTATTTATAAAAAAGGAAACACAAAATGCATGATTTTGTCTTCCCTCCTCTTTGTGTCTTTGTTTGGGGAAGTAACCTTCTTAAATGTGTATGTGCCTTTTCACCTTCATTTTAATTCAGTTATAAATCCTGGACTTTAATAGCTCCTGTGTTTCAGGTTTTCTGCAAGTGTTAAAACTTTATGCACATTCATAACACATTCTCCCACGTGTTCTCTGACATGTTGGGAAAAAAGTCATAATATTAACAAGACTATATCGTCATTTAATAAGAATTCATAATAAGTCTACCTGTCCTGTACTCTGATGTGAATTAGCCTGCATTATTGCTCTGCTGATGGGTTGTCAGATGACAACGTGAAATATGTATGTTTTAATGAAAACATTACATTTATTTATCATGTAAATATATACAGGTGCTGGTCATATAATTAGAATATCATCAAAAAGTTGATTTATTTCAGTAATTCCATTCAAAAAGTGAAACTAGGATGTTATATTCATTAATTACACACAGACTGATATATTTCAATTCAGTATCTCAGAAAATTGGAATATTACTTAAGACCAATACAAAAAAAGGATTTTTAGAAATGTTGGCCAACTGAAAAGTATGAACATGAAAAGTGTGAACATGTACAGCATTCAATACTTAGGTGGGGCTCCTTTTGCCTGAATTACTGCAGCAATGCGGCGTGGCATGGAGTCAATCAGTCTGTGGCACTGCTCAGGTGTTATGGGAGCCCAGGATGCTCTGATAGTGGCCTTCAGCTCTTCTGCATTGTTGGGTCTGGCTTATCGCATCTTCCTCTTCACAATACCCCATAGATTTTCTATAGGGTTAAGGTCAGGCGAGTTTGCTGGCCAATTAAGAACAGGGATACCATGGTCCTTAAACCAGGTACTGGTAGCTTTGGCACTGTGTGCAGGTGCCAAGTCATGTTGGAAAATGAAATCTGCATCTCCATAAAGTTGGTCAGCAGCAGGAAGCATGAAGTGCTCTAAAACTTCCTGGTAGACGGCTGCGTTGACCTTTGACCTCAGAAAACACAGTGGACCAACACCAGCAGATGACTTGGCACCCCAAGCCATCACTGACTGTGGAAACTTTACACTGGACTTCAAGCAACGTGGATTCTGTGCCTCTCCTCTCTTCCTCCAGACTCTGGGACCTTGATTTCCAAAGGAAATGCACAATTTACTTTCATCAGAGAACATAACTTTGGACCACTCAGCAGCAGTCCAGTCCTTTTTGTCTTTAGCCCAGGCGAGACGCTTCTGACGCTGTGTCTTGTTCAAGAGTGGCTTGACACAAGGAATGCGACAGCTGAAACCCATGTCATGCATACGTCTGTGCGTGGTGGTTCTTGAAGCACTGACTCCAGCTGCAGTCCACTCTTTGTGAATCTCTTTGTGAATCTCCCCCACCAGGTGTCTTCAATATTGAACCTTTTCACAATATTCTAATTTTCTGAGATACTGATTTTGGGGTTTTCACTAGTTGTCATTTATAATCATCAAAATTAAAAGGAATGAACACTTGAAATATATCAGTCTGTGTGGAATGAATGTATACATTATACAAGTTTCACTTTTTTAATGGAATTACTGAAATAAATCAACTTTTTGATGATATTCTAATTATATGACCAGCACCTGTATACATTGTTCTGTCAGTGATATTGGTCAGTAAGTAAATTGTTGTACTTAATCCCATTTAAGGGTCAACCATAGACCTTTGCAAGGGCCACCCCTGGACCGGGTTCATCTGTACCCTGCCACCCCGCCCCTGGCAGCGGGCCTGCCTATAGGACACTCAAAGCTACTCACAGGAACAGAGCGCAAACACAAACAGTCACACAAAACTCAGGGGAAAAGTAGACAGATCAAAAACTCAGCCAGTAGCAGTAACAAGAATATAAATTATTAATTTGAATTGATTACTCAGCATTTCCCGCAACACATTTTTCCCTTTGCTTTGAATCATTTTACTCAAACACATCAGTAACCCTCCTGCACTCAACTTAGTTTTCCATATAGTTTACACTTAATATTTTCTCCCTGTTAAGTTTGTTGACCTTTTGACCTTATGTACTTTATATTCACATTGCACATCCATCAGCAAACACAAATATTGACACATAGCGGCCAGCCAGCAATTGCGTAGTGCACTAGTGATGGGAATCATGGCTCTTTGACAGGAGCCAGATGTTATGGCTCCATTCCTTTCCAAGAGCCGGCTCTTTTGGCTCCCAAATGGCTCTTCATTTCGTACCACTTCTGCTGGTCACTGCCTAAGTTACATTCTTATTTGTTGCAAGAGATAAATATACAAGATTCTCATCATATTGATGGTTACAAAATGGGATATCTCTGGGAACTGTCTTAGTTGTTTGTAACATAACATCTAACTTCTGAAATAGTATGGTTAATAAATGATACTCTATACACACAAATACTGTAGATTTCAGTAAAATCTTTATTATAGGCTATAGCAAATCTTTCCAAGCCGTTATATGGAGGGCCAGAACAAAGTCAAACCATATGAAATCCAATGTTGCCTACCTTCTTGAATATTGTCTTTAATTGTCCTTTAATTTGTCTTTTGAAAATCTACCTGTGACTCCTCATGCCTGCCTGCTCAGTCCCTCACACACTGACTTCAATAAAAATGTAAGTCTACGATCAAACACAGTGATAGTGGAAATAGATGGTAATATCAATAATATTAATGTTCTATTAATACCTGGTTAGAGGAAATTTGGTAATTAAAATAAAATACATATATACTTGTTTATTAAAATTAGCAATGCAGAACAAGTGATACTCAGACAACTGAGTGTTCCTAATGGTGGTGGTAAATAGAGGAAGCAGTTTTTGTATGATTCCCCTGTTATTGTCTCTCACTGTGTGTCTCTGGCACAGTAATACACTGCTGTGTCCTCAGCCTTCAGACTGTTCATCTGCAGATAGAGCTTACTGCTGGAGTCATCTCTGGAGATGGTGAATCTACCCTGGACTGACTGGGAGTAAGAGATAGGAGAACTAGATGTGCCTATATAAGCGATCCACTCCAGTCCTTTTCCAGGAGCCTGTCTGACCTAGGCCATATAGTCACTGAATGTGAATCCAGAGGCTGTACAGGTCAATCTGGCCTTTTAACCACTGGTTCAGATTCTGTCAGATTCTGTTAGAGTCTGACCATCAACACCTGTTAAGAAAAAAAAAAGATATGTAAGTCATGCCTTACATTAGCAGCACAAATAATAATGTGTCAGATAAAGATCAATGAAGATCTTCACCTGCCCAGCAGACAGTTAAAAGCAGCAGTCCTGTCCTATAGTCCATCATGTTAAACTGTGTGTCCACTGTTCTCTGTCATCCTCTCTGCAGTCAGATAAGTAGAGGTGGAAGACATCTGAGTTTTGCATTGACTCTTCCTCACAGGGAGGAACTGGATTTGACTTGGATCTCAGTTACTGTTTGGTGAAACTGGTGGATGAATGTTTGCTGTACATGAGTCATTCTTCCAAAGAGTCCCTCTTTCATGTTTCAGAAGTAATTCTGCAACATATTGATGAACACTACATTTTACAATACCACCCAAAATTTCAGACTTTTAACCCCTCAGTATATTTCAGGCAAGACAAGGAAATTGTCCAATCAGACAAATAAACTCTGTTAAAACTAAAGGTTCAGTGAAAACTAAAACATTGTGTCATCCTCTCTGCAATCAGATAAGTGACAGTGGAGCTAGGTTTGTCATTGACTCATCCTAACAGGAAGGACAGAGTTTGGCCTTTTGTTTGTTGGACTACACTATTTTTGTTGGAAATAATAGTGTAGATGTTGCAATGCCTAAATGTGATCAAGCAAATTTAAATTTAAAAACTTGCTTAATTTGAATTGTCTTCAAAAGTTGATTTTTGTGTTTAAGGTTTATCAGAGTTTCCTCCAACAAACAACAACTTTAAACATACAGCTTAATGTTTATGACACAAAAGTGTTACTTTTCCAAAACATGAGGTGACGTTATGTTTCTTATCTTAATCTCACTTTAGGTCCCATAAAGTGATTTACACATTGCGCTGAAGAAAAATCTGAAACATATTATTTAATAGTAATTCAGTTTTAACATTTTATTCAAATAGGTCAATCTGACCATAAGTAGAGGCTGAAGAGCACAGATTCACATTGCTTATTAATGCGTTTATCATTGATATAAGGTCTTTTTTATTAATATTACACATTTACAAAAGGTGAGTCAAAGAATTATTTGTTTCATTTCTTGTTGGATGAAAATAATGTTGTCATTAATTCACATGTAAATTGTGAGTCCAACAGAGAAGATACTTTTTGGAAAATGCCTCCACTGTATATTATTATTATTACCAGTGAACTGGTGTTGAAGTCATTAGTGGTCTGAGGGCTCCTCTTCTGGTGGCTTCATGTTACAAGTGTTCAGGCACTGAGGGGTTTTTGTTCAGGTCTCCTGATGGTTTGTGTTATTGTGGATCTCTGGCACATTAATACACAGCAGTGTCTTCAGGCTGCACATTCTGTCCGTTTAGAGTCACTGTGTTGCTGGAAAAGTCTGTGTCGATACTGAACTTGTTCTTTAGTGAATCTTTGTAATGTGTGCTGGAGCCAACTCTGCTTCCAACCATTCCAGTCCTTTCCCTGCAGGCTGTCTGATCCAAGCTGTGAAGTAGCTGCTAACAGAATAAGAGACCTGACAGGTGATGGTCAGACGTTGACCTGGCTGCACAGTCACAGAGGCTGGCTGTGTCAACTGTTCACACTTCACACCTGTGTAGGAAAACATGTTGAATGCTGAATCAGTGTAATGTAATGTAACAGTGAACAGTCAGTGTGCTGTGATCATACTGTCAGTGTCTCTGCCTCAGTGAGACTCACAGGATCCAGCAGCAGCAGCAGCAGCAGCAGAGCTACAGAGAACATGGTTGGTATTGAAGGTGATCTGATGGGAGCTTCTCTTCTTCTGCTGCAACTGACAGCATGATATTAAGTCTTTATAGCAGACTGTGAGGAAGTTCACTTTGCATAGAGAAGGACACTGACAGGTTGTCAGAGAAGATGAACTGTCATTGCTCAAGTAGTCAAGAATTGAATTAATTTTCTCTTTAATAATTACTGACTTTCCAGTCACTTGATGTGATTTAAAAGTCCACCACAGTCTTTACTGCACGTTCTTTGACAGATTCTAAAGCATCTAACAAAATAACAGATCACCAGGCAGGTGATGACTGGAATCTGACCTTGATTGACTGTCATGGATGATTTAAAATAGTTAATATATTTATTTCCTTAGCTGTGGAAAGGAAAGGTTTCAGTTAGGGTTGGTGATACTGACATTATTCTCACATCAACCTGTCCCTAAGCAGAAACAGAACAGATTTAATGGATAAGGGAGGAAATGGTCTTGGTCTTCCTTAATTACAGTTTTTTCTGATTGCTTAAGCACATTTTTTGTAACTATTGGCTATTTTTGCAAAACTCTACACACAAATAAGAAAACCTTTCACCCAATTATCAAAACATTTTGATAAAAATGGTGTTTTCGTATCAAACAGTAAACACAAGCCATCATCTACTAAGCACACAATGTGCCAACTACACACTGATGGTATGAATACAAAACACATCTGGCTTTTGCTTTCTCTGTGTACAGATGTCAATTTGAGGTCATACTTTTAGTGTCATGTAAACATACAAGGATCCAAACTTCAAGTATTGGTGTTTATTCACACTCATCAAAACCAAGACAAAGTCAGAACACAAAATAGTAATTTCACAAAAAAAAAAAACAATCAGCCTACATCATGTCGTCTTTCTGGGTCCGGCCACAAAATTTCGTCCACATCGCATGCGATATCCTCCAGTCCAAGGCACCGGGGAAAATATCTCCTTGAATGTCGTATCCAGGCCTGACATGATGCCTGGTCAATATCTCCACATGCCTCCTCCATTGCCTGTAAAAGGGCTACCTGTTGATGAGGATGGCGGTCGTACACTTTCCAACGCCAGGCAGAGAAGAACTCCTCGATGGGATTTAAGAATGGAGAGTATGGAGGGAGGTTGAGTGCCATGAAGAATGGGTGGTCTGTAAACCAGTTGCGGACCAAAGCAGCCCTATGGAAACTAACATTGTCCCAAATGATGACATATCGGGTCTGCTCTGGTCTCTGAACAGTGAGCATGTCATGTAAGGTGTCCAGGAATGCAATAATGTGTGCAGTGTTGTATGGGCCTATGGTTGCATGATGGTGAACAACACCATTTTGGCTTATAGCTGCACACCACATTGTCCTGGGACATTGATGATGGCACGGTGTCCAATAATGTTCCTGCCACATCTCCTGGTTTTACTGAGGTTAAAATCGGCCTCATCTACAAAAAGTAGCTCATGTCCCATGGCATCTGCTTCTAGTTCCATCACTCTCTGGACAAGACAAAACAAATGCAACACATCAGGCCCATGCACAGCACTACAGTATGCACTTCCAAATTCAGAACCAATGACACTATAGCTTACCTGCACATAGTCATATCGCAGTTGCTTTACACGTTTTGTGTTTCTCTCAAAAGGAACTCTATAAATTTGCTTCATTCTTATTCTGTGGCGCGCAAGTACACGACTTAGTGCAGAAATGCTTACACTGTGTATATTTTGAAAGATGGTGTCATTATCAATTATGCGCTGCTGTATTTCGCGCAGTCTTATTGCATTATTGGCAATCACCATGTTCACTATATGGGTCTCTTGCTCTGGAGTGAACATTCTTCCTCTGCCCCCAACATGTGGACGTCTAGCAATTCTGTAAAGTAACAATTTCAGTATTTTTGCATGTATGGTACTGTTGTGTTTCTCATTAGAGTATGGCAGTGCTACAAAGTACTTACCGATTCTCATTTCGAAATGTCCTAATGATGCTTGCCACAGTGTAGCGGCTCAAATTAGGCTGAACCCGTTGGCCAGCTTCCCTCAGGGTCATCCCATGGTTGATGACATGGTCCACTATTGTAGCTCTGATGTCATCAGTTATTCTATTTCTTACTCTTCTTACCCTTCCTCTTTCCCCTCCTCGTCCTCTTCTTGCTCCTCCTTGTCCTCTTCCTCTAACTTCCTCTAACCCTCTCGCTTCTTCAACTCCACGTCCTCTTCCTCCAACTTCTTCACCTCCACGTCCTCTTCCTCCAACTTCTTCACCTCCACGTAATCTCCCACGTCCTCTCCCTCTGCCTCCTCGGCCTCCTCGGCCTCCTCTGATTCTCACTCTTACTGCTCCTTCCATTGTACTCCACACAGACAGCTTACCTGTGGCTTATTTATAGTGCTTAGGCTGATTGCAAAGTGAACTAATTATCTAAAACAGTTTTCACATGTGAAAGTGTGCCAGTTGGCAAAATAGTGTTAATGATAGCCATACATGTGTATAATTTTGCTAGGAGTGTGTTGGAAATTTGGTAATTGAGTGTAAGCAGTGAGTTGTGTTTAAAGTTCTGCAAAAAGAGTGTTGTGCAGTGAATTGTGCCTACAATTTTGCAAAGTGTGTGTTATAAAATTGCAAATTGAGTGCAAAGCAGTGTTTGTGCTTTTAGTTTTGCAAACTCAGTGAGTGGTTTTGCTATACATATTAATAGTTTTAGAAATTGTGCTACAAGAATCACGATTAGCGCTTAAGCATTCAGAAAAAACTGTAAGCATGCCTGAATAGCGCATAGCATCAACTGTTTTCTCCCTCATGCTGGATGAGGCCTAATTTCTATGTGTATAATTTTCAACACCTGTTTTTTTTATCCATTATGCATTAAATGTGTGCTATTTGGCAATTATACTTTCCTCTTTTAATTGTCTAAGTATAACATAAATTGCTTCACCCCTGCCTTAAAAAAAGAAAGAAATATTATTACCAACATATTGTTGTAGAAAAGGACATGTTGGTAAAAACAAAAACAAAAACAAGCAGAAGGCACAAACCACAACCTCACTGGTGCTTTCACATTGTGTTTTTTTTTCTGTATGTGTAGGTATGCCATACTAGTTTGTTCTGATATTTTAGTATCTCCTGCCCCCTATTGGTGTTTGTAAAATTAACTTGTTTGAGGTTTTTGTAAAGCTTCTCCACTCACATTAAACAGTGTGGATCTGGCACAGTAATACAGAGCAGAGTCATCTGGCTTTAGGTTGGACAGTGTCAGATATACCATGCTGTTGCTATTGTCTCTGGTGATTTCTATCCGTCCTTGCACACTGCTTGCATACACTGTTTTACTTGCATCATAGTAAATAAGCCCCATCCATTCCAGTGCTTTTCCTGAAGGCTGTCTGATCCAGTGCATTCCATACTGACTGAAATCAAATCCACTTCCCCTGCAGGAAAGACTGAGGGCTTCTTGAGGCTTTTTCAAAACTGAAGTGGAGGGAATGGACTCCATAGCCTGGCCATTCAAACCTGTCAAAGAACCAGAAGTAAAAAGAGACAAGTGAGAACGAGAAGAAATGCCAGAACATTAAATGTGAGAATTTTTTGATTGGCGTTGCAGTATGAAGCAACTTACAGGGCAGACAGAGCGCTATCAGCAGAATAGACAGTTTGTCCAACATCTTGAGACTAAAGATGTGAACTCAGCTGCTTCACACTAACACAGAAGACAGCAAGTCAGTGGGAGGACAGAAGTATACCCTCTGAAAACTCTGGATTTGCATTGAGACTTTGTATGGGAGGGGCTAATGTATTTGTATAATATATTTTATACATTACAAAAATTTTATATTTTACAGTGGTGTGAAAAAGTGTCATTTTTTGCATGTTTATCACACTGAAATGTTTCAGATCAATCAAATTGAAATATCAGACAAAGATAACACAAGTAAACACAAAATGCAGTTTTTAAATGAAGGTTTTTATTATTAAAGGGCAAAAAATTCAAACCTGCATGGCCCTGTGTGAAAAAGTAATTGCCCACTGAACCTAATAACTGGTTGGGCCACCCTTAGCAGCAACAACTGCAATCAAGCATTTGCAATAACTGTAAATTAGTCTTTTACAGCGCTGTGGAGGAATTTTGGCCCACTCATCTTTGCAGAATTGTTATAATTCAGCCACATTGGAGGGTTTGAGCCTTAACTCCTTTTGTTTTTCTTAAGCCATTCAGAGGTGGACTTGTTGGTGTGTTTTGGATCACTGTCCTGCTGCAGAACCCAAGTGCGCTTCAGCTTGAGGTCATGAACAGATGGCCGGACTATTTTACTGTTGGTATGATGTTCCTTTTCCGAAATGCTGTGTTACTTTTACGCCAGATGTAATGGGACACACACCTCCCGGAAAGTTTTTGTCTGATCAGCCCAAAAGTCTTGAGGATCATCAAGATGTTTTCTGGCAAAACTGAGACAAACCTTTGTTGTTTTTGCTCGGCAGTGGTTTTTGTCTTGGAACTCTGCCATGCAGGCCATTTTCACCCAGTCTCTTTCTTATGGTGGAGTCATGAATACGGACCTTAACTGAGGCAAGTGAAGCCTGCAGTTCTTTGGATGTTGTTGTGGGGTTTCTTGTGACCTCTTGGATGAGTCGTCACTGCACTCTTGGGGTAATTTTAGTTGGCCAGCCACTCCTGGGAAGGTTCACCACTGTACCATGTTTTCGCCATTCATGGATAATGGCTCTCACTGTGGTTGGCTGGAATCCTAAAGCTTTAGAAATGGCTTTATAACCTTTTCCAGACTGATAAATCTCAATTACTCTGTTTCTTATTTGTTCCTGAATTTCTTTGCATCGCTGCATGATGTTTTTTTCAGGATCTTTTGGTCTACTTCACTTTGTCAGGCAGGTCCTATGTAAGTGATTTTTGGATTGAGAACAGGTGTGGCCGTAATCAGGCCTGGGTGTGGCTAGAGAAATTGAACTCATGCCGCTTTCGAGACCGGTCGGAACTGGGATATTTCCCAGTTGAAACTTCCAACTTCTGACATCAAATCATTCCAGGTGCATGGTGGTGCATGATGCCAAAAGTGAACGAAAACCATGGCTGACCGTGACAAAGTGTACACACAGTTGCACCCTCAGCAGTGTTTTAGATGTTAATTAAAAGGACGGCAGTTTAGATGCAAACAACTGACATAAAAAGCCGACGTTACTGGTTAATTGTGTACCCCTCTAGCTACATCAGTTGGTAATCCTCAAGTCAGGCAGTGTTGTAGGTGCCACTTCCAAATTTTGGGGCATTTTTATCAATAACATTTATGCAGAGAAGATGACTTTATGAGATTCTTTACTGTAGCCAGCTACCTAATAATAACATATTTCTACACCAATGTACATGCATAACAGGTTTTACTATATGATTGTATGTATTATTTTCATTTAAATACATGCAAATATACTTTTTGTTGCCTTTTAGTTTATGGTTTACCATTTACAATGTATGCTTCCATGAGTGCTGACATTGTTTTGTGACGTAATTCAGCTGCTACTCGTGATGTCGGGGTACATATTTTTCTCCGAGTTCACAAGTAGGAAATCCGACTTCAAGTGGCGTTCCACAGTATCTTTTCAAGTTGGAGGTTGGAAATTTCCCAGTTCTGAGTTACCTGGAACACAGCATTAGCTTTCCAAAGATGTGATAAACCACAGTTGATTTATGTTTCAACGGGGACAATCACTTTTTCACACAGGGCCATATATGTTTGGATTTTTTCCCCTTAATAAAAAAACCTTTATTTAAAAACTGCATTTTTTGTTCACGTGTGTTATCTTTGTCTAATATTTCAATTTGTTTGATGATCTGAAACATTTTAGTGTGACAAACATGCAAAAAATTAAGATCTCAGAAAGGGCGCAAACACTTTTTCACACCACTGTATGTATTTTATATATTTCAAATACATCTCTGAGATTAAATGTATTATACATATGCATTATAATGTTTGTGGAATTTCATGTTTTCACAGTACTGGTTTCACTGACAAACAATACCCTCAATTGCCCAAAACTTTGTGCTCAAATCATCAAATCAAAGTCTTGAAAATTCTGATCGCCTATGCATAATTGTCTGTCTATGCATTTTAATTTAATTAAACCTTTTTACTATAATATAATATATAATATAATACCTATTTAGTTTCAACAAGATCATCGGCATGTTTGAAAAAGAAGCTGTATCAGGAAGGACACAGACAACGAACAAAAACTATGCAAAAATACAAAAATCAATCCGACACCACTTTGATCTTATTAAGATAATTGTAAAATCAACCAGTATATAACCAACACATTTCAACAAAAATTTTTGATGATTTTTTATGTTGCATTGCAATGCCTCACATTAAAATGTCAGGTTTTCAACTTTTTCTACCCCTTGTTAGGTACTGTAACTCTGAAATGCTTTCTATTTATCATCATCTATGTAATATGAATAAGATATGACTCTAAGTAAAATGGCCCTTTCACTGAGATTTTTTTTTTGCACAGGTCCGTGACTTACATAGCAAGAGAAATGTGAGTTTACTTTATGTGGTGAATTCAAGAACTCTTTCGTGTACATACAGTATATGAACAGGATTAATACTCTTATGTAAAAGATATATAGTAATTTCATGGCATTATCTGGCATCCTGCTCATGATGATCAGATAATGCAAATCCTGTTTTTATATACTACAGACAGACAGAAATTCACTATATTTGAAATTATTATTAAATAAAAATATATAAAATCTATAATTATTTTCATTTTCACTGAGGTTGTTGTTTTTGTGTCATCAAATTGGTAGTGTGCTCATTTGTTTCAGTGGGCTTCTCATGCAATAGAACAAACAATTCAGCCTCAGATGTGATCATTGCATGTAGATTGAGAATATTTCCTGAAATTGCACAGAACCTTTAATTTCATTATAGCATGTATATTTGCATAATAGGCTGATGTTGTATATTCTTTAATGAAAATACAGCAAATAATCAGTCTGAGCTGCAAGCAATTTATAAATAACCAGATAACTTGCATTAATAAACAAAAAGCAATTGTATCTATTTAAAATAATATATTCATATAGAATCTGAACTTCAAGCTATAGCTTTTATTTTTTCCACATATTTACATATATATATATGTCTATGTATACAGTATAAGGAGTGGGTTGAGATTCACAAACCTTCTAACGTTGGACTTTTTCCTTCTCCACTTCTCCCATCTGTTGTATTCTCTTTTGTTTAATTAAGTGAAAAGAGAAAGCTTTATCCAGACAGTTATTTATTCACTCAGAAATACATGACATGATGGAATGAGTCAACAAATTTGACTCCTTCCGAAATGTATTTATGACATTTAAATGGATTTCTTCTTTATGAAAAAGCTTTTAGAAACAGAAGAAATATTTGACTGTGTATATGAAATTGTGCATATGCACAGTGTTAAGCCTATCTTTCTTTTCTAGACCAAAGCTGCAGAGATAATCCATATGAGACCTCATCCTTCCTCTCTGGCATACGCAGATGACTACTGGTCACGACTTACACACACACACACATGCTCACACAAGAGAAAAAAAAGAAACTGAATGATATAGCGACTTATAAAACAGTAAAATTAGTTGTTTTTTTAATAGAACTTCCCATATACAAGTATCCCAGGATCTCACCTAAGGCTGTCATCATGAGTATTAAACAACCCTGCATCTTTCTCAGAGGAGGAACCAGAAGACAAGTAAGTCAAAATGGTTGTATGGTTTTACACTAATGTTTATGTATTTGTGTTTGTTTTTCTTTTCATTTGTCTTACGCTTAAGAGTTTTCTAAGTGTATATACAGCAGATATCATCATTATTGTTTTCATTGGTTTACCAGTAATGTAAATCTTACTTTTATATGTTAATCATTTATGAAACCCATATTGTTTTGTTATTATGGTCATTCTTATATGGTGCTATTTTAGGTTTATGGAGAAAAAGCTTAAAGGACTAGTCCCATTGTGGAGTAGAAGTGGGAGGGCAAACTTATTAGCTGGTGCATTAGGCAATTGCATTGGCACTTAGCCTGATCTCTAAGTTCAAAGAAAACTGTACATTTACATAGAACCTTAACATTTTATGTACAAATGAGAACACATTTGTACTGTATGTATAAAGTGCAAAAGAAATGTAAACCTACTCAGATGTTCAGAAGTGTTCTTTGATTTGATTCAATATTTTTTTTAATTGTCCATAAATTCCAAATGCTATGTGAGTTCAAACCAATATGTTTCAGAACTGTATACGCTTGAAGTATGTAAGTGAGTTTTGTCACTTATTATATACTGAAATTATAAACTGTAAATTCATATGCACAACAATATTACAGAAGAACAACATTTGAAAGCCATCGCAAAATAAAACCACTTAATATCAAGAGCTTAAGTGAAAATAACAAAAGTTCATCAGAGACCATAATGTGGATGGGACAGGTATTATTTAGAGCACGAACTGAACAAAGGTACAATGAAGTGCATGGTTCCAGAACTAAAAAATCTAGCTCTGACATCTGTTATGCAAAATGTGTAATGTGAGTGTGGATTTAATGAAAGTCCAAACATATAATAGTCTGAAATAGTCACACAGGAAATGTAAAAACACATTACATGACACTACATGTCATGTCTGAGCAAGTTATGCTAATCTCCAGTCTTAAAAACAATCTAGTGCACATACAGTATATTTTAAATCAATTTAATTAATTTCATGTAAACACATATGTGAACAAATCTCATTGAAGTAGGGCACTTGCATGTGCATTTTCCACAGAGACTTTATTTTTCATCAGCAGTACATTCTCACACAGTGCTGTCTGGTGATCGGGGAGTTTATAGGAGGTCATTGCCTTGCAGAAGGACACAATATAGACATTTGAGGATATAACAATCATTTTACATTTTGTGGTAAACACACATAATTTCTCAGTTGTATCCATGCATGCTGTTATTTTTTTTGCAGACAAGAGCTCTTGCACAGGATGAGATTGAAGGTAACTGCTGGTTTTATGCTTTTTCCACTCTGATACACTTGTTAGAGTGCTGTATAATAGTTTGCTCCTTTTTTAAATTTTAGTAACATACTATTCTGAATTTTGTGTCTGTGTGCTCTCTAGAGTTACGTGTAGCTTTTGTAGAGTTTGATAAAGACAAGGATGGTTTCATTACCTGTAAGGACTTGGGGAACCTGATGAGGACCATGGGTTACATGCCAACTGAAATGGAGCTCATTCAACTGAGTCAGAACATCAACATGAATTGTGAGTAATGGCCTCTAATTTATGAGGTGAAAGCAAAAACCCCATCCATTCTTTATTACTGCTGGAAAAAAATAAGACCATTCATTACATCTGTGGCACTACTGTGGGTTTTCAAACCTGTTTTTTTGCCGCAGCATGTTTTTAAAATAAAATGCAAAACATCTTCAAGGCTGATTTATCATTTTGAATGTTTCAGGAAATGTGTCTTTCAGGCTCTGTGTCCCTTGAGGCACAGAGCGTATTTTTATATTTCTTAGCCTTCCAGGTGTTAGGAACAATCACCTTATGTATATATTATCTATCATATGTCAGTCGTCTAAATTGTACAGGCATTATCTTAGTTACAATGTATTTGTACATCACATTTGACAGTTGAATGTGAACCAACATATACACATGTATGAAACCTGACTGGATACTGTGAGTTTAAGTATTTCACTCCTCTGAAATGTTGAATGAAGTCAATGATTGGCATGACTGTGCTGTCTACATCTAAAAAGATTTCAGCCATGGCTATTGCAGCACAGTGAAATAAAACAAACAGTATTTTCTTAAGCAGTGTTTTCTGGCTACTGCCTGCTTATAGTTATATTAGTTATGTCATTTGTCTTATCACAGTGGGGGGACGTGTGGACTTTGAAGATTTTGTGGCACTAATGACCCCCAAACTTCTGGATGAAACTGCAGGGATGATTGGGTTGAAGGAACTTAAAGATGCATTTAGAGAGGTGAGCTCAACATACCCATTCTTTCTATTTGGTTTTTGGCACCCCATGGTGGATATAAAATGAATATACTGTTAAAGCTGGCAAAATATTATGTGTGATTTCTTGCCCCCTCTCCTACAGTTTGACTTAGATGGTGATGGTGCTATCACATCTGATGAGCTGAGAAATGCCATGATAAAGTTATTAGGAGAACAAACCAGCAGAAATGAAATTGAAGCAGTGGTCAGAGAAGCTGACAACAATGGGGATGGAACAGTTGACTTTGAGGGTGAGATACTGTACAAGTATATATATACACACACACATACACTCACAAAAGCCTCATTTAGTCTTTTTTTATAGCTTTAAATAAGTTTCTGCTGTTTAAATGTTGATTTACTTGAGTTGCTATATGAGACATGATTAACTTAAGTTAAAATAAATGACTACAAGTGTTGTTAAATAAATTCATTATAAAACTTCTGAAAGAATTTAACAGGGCACTGGTATTGTAGCTGGCTCACTAGTATGGCTCACAAGCACACCTAAATGCATCTGAGCCATGATTAATGTTATTAGTTTCACCTGTACTTTTGTTGCAAGACAAGTCACACTGTCATGAAAAAAAATTGTCCTTAAAAAATAATGTTTAGTCAAATTTTATGTGATCGCTGTTCACACATACAGTAATCTTATTGTTTTTACTATCAGAGATTTGTCCTTTGTTAGTTATTGTTACTTTACTTATTGTTTACGTTCAGTGCCAAAGCAGAGAGCAGTGTGAAGTTGTCCTAGCCAATTGTTCTCAGTTTGCTATAAACCTACAAGAATTTAGCTAATCAGTATCTTGTCCATTCTCTTTACAGAGTTTGTGAAAATGATGTCGCAGAAATGAGGACTACCTAATGAGTGGATGCAGTTTTTATTGAATTTTATGCTGATGATAGCCTATTTCATTTGAATAATTTCACTTTATTTTCCTGTTATTTAATTGGCATCCGCCTCATTCACGATCACGTGGAGCTCATTCATTTCAAGTGAACAAAGACGTTTTGCTCTTTTTGTTAGAATTTATGATTGTTAGAGATATGAAATTGTAAGAACTTAAATGGTAGCTCAGCCAGACCCTCATGTGAATGCATATATAAGTTCAGCAAATATGAAATGTTTGTTGTCGTTGACCTGAATCCCCCAACGGGGCAGTGTGTTTACACGTCATTGTCAGCTGTTTCAAAAGGAAGAAGAGAGAGAGAATTCTTATGCTCGGCCTCCATATGTAAAGTAGGTGAACTTGCCATCCTTAACATAAATAAATTCTTGATGATCAATGGTGTAGTTATCTGACACAGTGATGTATGTCTGGGCACAGAAATTCAAGTCGGAAACTCATAATTGCAATATTTCCAATGTGACAGGAACACTGCATTAGCCTACAGAAGCCAGTAGAATAATATGACTCTGTAAGGACACAGGTGCAGGCTCTCATGAATGGTCTGCTTCTGTCATTCCCAGCTTTTCTGGGAAAGTTAAATTTTGGAAAAACCCACCATCCACTCTTATTCACATTTAAAAAAAAAAATGTATATGGCAGTTGAGCCCATTGAATTTCTAGATACCTTTCAGTAGATAATGATGTGGTGGCCTGGGAGAGAATGAACTATGTGCATGTTTCTTCCATGATCCATTGATATTTTACCAAGGATATATTGGTTGTGGACAATGACAATATTTTTCCTTCACGGAGCTCCTTACCTGCTGCGAGTTTCTGCAGCAAACTGTATCTGATCCAGAGGTTCAATCAGCTGAAAATGTTCAGCACTGACCTCCCAAAAGTAATGGTTGACTTTAGTGTGACTGCAGGTTTGACCATAGGATAAAAACTATCTGTCCCTCCAGTTACACCTGGAGAACATGATCTCAGCAGGGCCGAGTGTCCTCTACTGCCACTTCTTCAGCTCCGTTGCACCTGTCTCACCAGGGTGTAAAGGCAGCCCACCATCTGCTTGAAGTTTTATTTAACAATAGTATCCACAAATGTGTTTTCTGAGTGGCAAATTGTCCAATGATAATAATAATACCGGATTTATTTTTCAACCACTTTGTGCATTTGGCATCTTTCACTGCAAATAATCCCTCTAAGGTCGCTAATGCTATTGCATAACAAAAGGCCAACATGAGCATTGTTAAGTGCGACAACAGCTATTTTTGTCTTTCAAATAAGATATAAAACATCAAGCTTTTCAAGGGATTTTCAGATGCCATCACTGCTTTAAAGACATGGCAAGGTGCATAACCTTGACTTGTGATGGCATGGTGGACAGTTGAGCACATTTAAGGTAAGAGTTTTATTAAAAGACTGTCATAATGCTGACCTATGACAGTAATACTATCACCAGCTACTAACTACTAATATTTGAGTTCTTGTATTATTTGCTTGAGAAACTGACAGTGATGTTAAGCTTCCCATCCAATCCCACACAGCTCACAGAATAAATGTCAACTGCTGAACAAATTGTACATCATGAAACCACATACATTCAACGACATATAAACAACCTCAGCAATAATCTGTCTCTCTGGGGTGGATTAGTTCAGTCTCTGTAATCCTCAACATGGGACCCTTAGATGAGCAGATGGCAGATAAGACAAAATCACCACTCTAATTCTCATCTAGTGACTGAAAAAAGTAACCAAAAAAAGCTATACGAGCTTAATGAACCACGATGTGTTTTCAAAATTATGTTTAAATCAAGACATTAGAAATGTATCTTATTGGGTGGACCTTTTGTTTTTTCCTAAATAATAATACGGCCCAGTTTGGAGTTCCATAGAGAATAAACACATTTAAAAAACAATTAAGAAGCTAAGCAGACAACAGGTTATTTCCCCCTAATACAGATATATAATATACTTATTATTTGATGAATGTGTTCCCCCATAAAAGTTAATTGCATCTTTTGAGAGCTTAACAATATGCTCTGCTCTATGAATCTTGTTTCAACAAAAGTTTTACATACAAGTGTATTGCTCTATTAATCTATTCACAGAGTCAATACTGATTTATTTCTAATTTATTTCTTATTTGCATTCAGAGAAAACAGAATTGAAAAACCCTGATGTATGCATGTCATACAATATGTAAACCACCAATTATATTAATAAACAAACAGAAAAATATATTAATAGATACAAACATACACACATGCATAGAGGTAAAAATAAGAGAAAGAATAACCACAGTATGCAAAAGTTGATATAAGTTTGGCATTAATATTGAGACAAAAATAAATTTAACTTTTCATTTATATGATTTTCATGTTTTCACAGTTTTTTGGTTGATCCATAGGAAATCTGCCTAAATTTCAAAATAAAGCATCCCAGACTGACTCTAATGGCCCCTGAAGGTATATGAACACATGCCTCAGCAGCTCAAAACAAAGTCCAGTAATCAGGACAGATAAGTTTCACATGCAAGTAGCACTCACTAGCATAGTATATGTCAAGATAAGATTTACAGTAGCTAACACCAGATCTGCTCTTCTTAGGTTGGATCTCATTTTGCTTTCAAGTGATGTCAGTTCGTAGTTTGGAGCCAAATCGTACAGCATGGAGCATTTTCTAACATCCTCTATAGTAATTCATTCATGTGGCACTTCCTGGTGTAGACCATAAATCCAACACCACTTGAAAGCATGTACAATGGCTTGTGTAATTCTTAGAGCAGATTCACACAGTGATTCATCGACTGGAATGAGATGCATGACCCACAACAAGCAGGGCTAAGGTAAGGCATCCCTACATGTTGCATATTGGTAGTGAAGGAACAGATTCAGAAGTCAGGGCTAAACATAAAGTCCAGAGCTTGTCTCTCTGCAGCAGCCACATTTGGGTGCCACAGGTCAACACTCAAAATGACTCTGGGTCCAGCATCTGGAGGCCCTTTAACGACAGAAAAAGAGATGCAATTTTATGTCAATTAGATTAAATTGTTGTTGTGTTTTTGCATGGGTATAATAATGACAATACAATTAAGAGTAAAAATGAGAGCCAAGTACAGTTATGAGCATTTGCTTCACATCAGAGTTTTACCATTTATTTTAACTGTAATTTAAAACAAAAAATGAATAAATGCAGCAATTTCCCACTCAGCCAGAAACACAAAAAAAACAAGAAAATGTATTTTTCAACACTGTGTGATTCACCAACCCTTGTGGGAGACAGTGTGAAGGAACGAGTCATCAACCAGAAGGCAGTGTCCCTCTGACCAGCACTGAGGCTCCCCTCCCACCACCAGCTCACACGAGGGTGGAGTCTGCAGACCTACAAAAGTGATGTCTGTTTTAAATTTTGGAAACAAAGTATTATGTTTTTCCTAAGAGGGCCATGCCCTCCATTTCTGTCTGTGCTGAAAAATAGAGAGGATTAAAGCCAGACGGATCACAGTACAAAATGGGCTAAGGGGAAATGAACCACAAACCTGACCCACAAAGTACCACATTACGCAATGGTTCAGCGTTTGGTCAGGTTATTTTTATATTCTTTTCTTGTTTTAGTTGTAATGTATTGTTTGCACCGGCACAGTTCAAAAGAGTGGTAAAAATAGTGTACCAAAGCCTCTGTATCTTCTCTCTCTCAACTTGATCACCTTTGTCAGTGCATCTCTAACAATGTACATTACTTTGAATATTTACTTTACTGATTCTACAGTCATTACCTACAGCATATGTAGGTGCTGAAAACCATGTTGCTCCTTGATTTGTCTGAATTTTTTGCAAACATGCAGCAAAGGCACTGACCGCTGTAGCAAGTAATCACAAGGAATACCCTTTATTTACTGAAGGTTATCCTGACAGTCATCTTTGAGATTTGTCTAAGATGCAGGTAAATGCACATAACGCACGATGAGTGTATTTCTTTACTCACCAAGATGACAACGTAGGCGTGTATTGGTGGGTCCATATGAGCTACCCAACATTGCTCCGGGCCCCAACAGCCAAAATCCAGCAGACCCCAAAGAGTTGCTGTTTATAAACGTACGTAGAGAGAGAAGTGTCCGGTAGGTGCAGGGGCAGGAGCGACAGTTTCCTGCCACACAGACACCTGCGCTGTACAAAGGAAACACTGCCTGGCCCTGAGAGAGACAATGGCCTGCAGTTAACTTATGTCTCGGATCAGACACATACATCATAATTAAACAGGATCAATCAGTTTATCCTCCTTTTAATATCAAAGTACGAAACATGGAAAGCAAAAAAACTTGATTTTGAAAATAATCTTTAGTTTCTTCCTTAAGTCACAAACATAATTATTGCAAATGCAAAAAAACAAAAGTTCTGCAACACACATATCAGAATATTTAAATGAATGTTGGGATAGAGATTGAATTTCATCACTTGTAACATAAGAAACGATTACCCCTTTTCATCTACATAATGCAGGCTCTCTCACACAGCACTCTGAATAACTAATATTAATGTTTTTCTATAAAGCGTGAAATTGTTTCCTGGGCTGCCACTTTATCATGGAGGGTACTGACAGATTTTATTGTGTACCTTGGGTCCCAGACAGGTCCAACCTAATTTTGAATCGATGCCCCGCTGGTAAACAGCCTTGAATTCAGCCAAGATTACAGAGTAGTTGGCTTCCAAGACCTCAATGTCATGCCGATGTGCGTCACGTGGGAAGAAAGGAACACTTGGAACATCTGGCAGGAAGAAGAGATGAGGCTTCTGTATAGCAGAGTGATCATTCAGTCTGACCTATAGGGAGAACAATAAGAAATCAAAGATCAATTCCAGACAATGTTTCCTTCCTCTGTCGTTCGGAGGAACTGTTTATTTGATTGAAGTATTTTTGTGTCAAATGAGGTGTTAGGATGACTACTCTTACATAAGATTAGGAAGTTATGTATGTTAGCACAAACCGACCACAATGAAATTAATTGTAACATATTAATGAACAACTCATATACTTAATATTTACTGCCAATAGCAAGCACCAGTTTTGGCTCGCATGGAGTAGAATATTACCTGCTCACGGAGGCCCTTATGAATGCGGCCCATGCCCACCCAACTGTAGCGCTTGGCATACTCTTGCAGTGCTGCGTACAGTTTCTTGGCTTCTGCAGATGCCTGGGCTGGGAACAAGGCATGACTCAGCACAGGGGTGAGGTAGCCCTGTCCCTGCTCCTCATCCTCCTCTGTTTCCATGGAAATAAAGGGAGTAATTTGATCACTCCTCGACAGCTTGGATCGTGCACTACACTTGGCTCCAGCACAGCTACCGCCACGGGACATCATGGACCGCCTTGAGCCTGACTTGAGCTTTCCGGCATGTGCATGGCCCGGGATTGGCAGGTCGGAGCCCATTCGATAACAGTGCCACAGAAAAAGTAGCAGTAGAGTCCACAGAAGGCCACTCAGTGAATGGACACCCAGCTCCACATATGGAGGCAAGGGCAGTGTGTTCATTGACCAGTGCATCCTTTAAATGTGTGAGACACTAAAATAGAAACAGATTGAGACATTATGTACTGCAAAATATTATCAGATTAACTATTTAATTCAAATAAAATTGTTATGGCCCACATCTAATTATTTAGGTGACTCCAGAGTTTCTGTTATTGATAGTGATGTTTTTAATTAGTGCAAATATTTCTTAAGTTACATAATAACAACAAGAGGATTACATTTTCTGACGTTCCTACAGTCCAAATAAATTTTTTTGGCTTGTCAAAGTCGTACAGATCATGGTAATGAAAGGACAGGCTCTGTTTGCTAACAAGCACAGCCTAAAGGGATTGATGTGCTGTCCTGGTTTCAAACTGCCTACTCATTCATTATTTTCTTTACTTTAATCCCCTTCAGGGGTCACAGGGAACTGAGGCCTATCCCAGCATGCACTTGGAGTAAATTAGTGAAACATTTTAGGACAAGTTGCTGGTCCATAATGGGGCCACTGACCAGTTGGTTAAGTTGCCTCTGACATTTCATGGTGTTATGTAAGTCCTGATTTTGGACCCCTCGCTATCTGGGCAAACTAGCTGTGGATGTAGCTAAAGATTTCACTGCAAGCAATAATCAGAAGTCATACCAAGGCTTTCCTTCTACACTGTTCAACTTTGGCTGCTAATTCAGAGAATGTCTGTTTCTTCCTTGTATGCATTGTCTTCTCCTTTGCCAAATTGAGGTCTGCAAAGTAAACAACTAGAGTTTAAACGCTTGTGAACGGTCAGTCTTTGTTGCTTATCTAGTTTCTAAACATCCTAGTAGTTTTCCCTATCAGCCTCAACTTTTATCTAATTATGATTCTTGGGTTATGCACAAAGTCATTGTTTTTGCCGAATAACATTTTGTGACTTATATTAATAGTTTGGGGGAATTCATATAATTTAAAAGGATCGTAGTGTTAAAATCTATTAAAATAACAAATAATAACATTTGATGGGCAGTAAACAATGCTAATGTGTTCAAAAGTGTTCTAAATATTTTGCAGAGCACCAATGACACACATGCAGCCCACAGTGTCACAAATGCCAAAGTGGAGCAAATGTTGCATTTGGGCTCTATAAAAATCGGATCTCTGCCACAACTGTGAGTCCTGTAGACATTTGGTGTAGAAAAAACATTTACATTTACACCCGATTTCACCAAAGATACTGTGTGCATGCGTGTGTCTGTGTATGTGTGTGTGTGTGTGAGAGAGAGAGAGAGAGAGAGAGAGAGAGAGAGAGAGAGAGTATGTGTACAGATTCAGACAGACGACATGATTTGGATTTTTTTTAAACCTACTAGCTGAAAACATGAGTGCGTGCGTGTGTCCGCTCGCGCGCGTATGTGCATGTATGCGCGCGTGCGGGTGTCTCTTAGGTGGGAGGGCTCTCTCCTAATAGGCTTATTCCAACTGATTCGTTTCGTCTTTTCGCATTAATTACATGCTAAGTGATGATACAGCCCACTGGAACACCTAGTAGGCTACAGCACGGTTACGCATGCTAAATTGTGGCCCTTGGGTCATTTTTATTTTTCACATATTTTGGCAGTGGCTTCAGCATTCATTCTGTTTTTGCTCCGCACCAGCCAACACAGCTCAGCTGGCTCATGTTTAATGTCCGCATTCCATGATAGCGCAAACATCCAGCCATTACAGGAGATCGCGACACAAAAATGTTCGCCATGCATACCGTGTGGCACATGCAAACATATAGTGCGTGCTTCATCTCACAACTCTGATTACCTTGATATACCGCGCAGCGTTGGACACACTTCAGCACCGGGTTGGTGGACAGCTCCTCCAGCGCCCACAGACAAAATGTGGAATCTCCCGCGCGCCGCTGCAGTTGCCGCGTGCGGCCGCTAGGGCGCACCTGAAGCTTCAACACAAATGCCCTCACACCATAGCCGAATGCGTCAACCACACGGTAACCAGCTAGGGGCATCTCAACAGCACAAACCCCGCCGTGTTCTCGGGCCCTAAAGCAACAGGATACAGTCAGAGTAGCAGAACACAGGACGAAGCCTGGGAGATAAAGGTAAGCGGCAGCCACCCTTCATCGTTGCTGAGATGGTTGTCGGTCTCGAGGTAGTGATGACTGATGCCAAAAATCGTCCTCCGCACAAAGAGGGCCGGGGGAGGTGCGAGTGATGCCGCCTCGTATTGCCCATCATTTTGTCACTCACCGGGCTGGTAATTTCACCGAGGAAACGCCTCAGATAACAGTGGAGGTGCTTTTTGACAAATTGCCATAAACAAGCTGATAATAGAATAAGGTTTAGAGCGTACCTGCGGTGAGGGTGGGCTCAATCGGTGAATTTTGGAATAGCGCATTTTCGGGCATGTTGTTGCAGATTTGGGTGAAAAAATGCAGGGGGACGCCTGGTGATTTAACATTATACCGTGTGCGATGTGTTGCCTACCTGTTCCCGTTGCCTAGACCCGAATGGATGTTTTCCAGATTGTTGGAGCTGAGCTTTTACAGTAACGTTATCACATCGCAGTGATCCTCTAATCCGAGTCATTGTGGCCTGTGTAATGTAAACATATGATGAGTAGCCTACCTGAATTGCGGGAGAATATTAAATTAGCCTATATTGCTAATACTTTGCTATTCATTACCACCACAGCCAACATGGGCTATTTCGGTGCGAACAGCAGTCATTTTAAGCTACAAATCAGAAATTATATTACACTACAAGATACAGGAATTGTTCTTATTACATTTTCACATAATAGATTGCTAATCAGTCTGCTTATTTTAATCTTCCTAGGTCATTCAGTTTCATCCAAAGCCATGGGGTTCACACGCCTTACTGTGATGCTGTCTGCCACCATGATCCACCTAGTTTCAGGTAACTCTGTGTGTGTGGTGGGGGGGGGGGGGGGGACTGTATGTGCAAGTGTTCTCTAATGTGTCTAGGCAGTTTTGCATGCCATGTCCTGCTAACTAGGTTTGTTTTCATTTTGTTTGCAAATTGTTGCAACAACAGTAATTAGACCTGGCTATTTCAGGTATGAGCTTTATGACTCCTGAGCCTGATACACCACCAACAGCAACCCCAGACTCTTACCCTCTGGGTGACCTGATCCATGCAGCCCTGCAGAGTAAGGACTACTTAGGAGAGGCTTCCGCTGGCACAGGTATGCTAACTCGGGCCTTTATGGCTTAGGTATTGTAGCTACGGGACGATGAGACGTGATTTCTCATTGGAAATCTGGAATCTGCAGGTACTACCACCAACCCGACGCAGGCTGTGCCTGGGCTTGGACAGACCGAGTCAACAGCGACAGTCATATCACCGGGGCTGCTCACCACAGCTTTAAGCTCCTCTTCCGCTGCCAGCCAGACAGGATCAAGGAATACCATGTCCTCGCTGCCCATGGAGGAGGAGACAACCACCACTCTGATCACCACGACCACCATAACCACAATGCACATGCCAGGTACTTGCACGCGATCACCTGGCTTCCCCCATGTCTCTGTTGTTTGTTGATGCAAGAGATGGTTCAGTAAAAGCAATGAAAATAGATTGAACAAATCATTCACAAACTCACCTGTGGATTTAGAGCTGCTCAGATTTCAACATCAAATTCCTTCAGAATCATTTTGGTCCCTGTCGCACCTTTTCTGGCTTGCTTTAAAGAGTGAGTAACAAGGAGATCTCGACAGACAAGGTAACGTGAAACATTTTGTCATATTCATGATGAGACTTCAACAGGTTAATGTACAACGTGAGTTATTTGTAAAGGAAAAGATGTTCATCCACTTAATATGTTTTAGAAAACATTGTTACATAACATGTCTTTAGTGACTTAATGCTCATTTTTAGGCTAGCTATTTAGTTAACATAGCTACCTTCTATATAATTACAGCCATTTACCATTAACCTGCTAATAATGAGAAGTACAGTAACATTCTGTAACATATTCAGTATCCATATTGATTTTATATTTTTAGCTCACTGCTAACGTTGGAACACAACAGTCTAAAGTACAGACATTTTTGTCTATAATCTGGTTTTATTACTGCTATAATAATGTGCTTCTTGTATTTCTACATTTCAGGAGTCATGGTTTAAACATGAAATGAGTGCATACACTGCGTGGGGATGAAGGTGATGTAGTGCACTCCTGCTTTCCTGTTTAAAGTAGTCTTCTCTTCTACCTCTCCTCCATACTATAAAGCAAGACAGCAGATTGGTTTACCGGCCTGCACTGCTGTGAGATTACCACAGCCAGATATAATATGTCTTACATACACATTTGCTTCTTTGACAAATGATGGTTAGGACAGCTGGCACTGAAAAGACATAGACATACAGCACAGGTTAGGGAAGGTGACTGGGTTGGGTGAACAGGTTTGTCATTAAATCTGGAGAGTCCAGGATCTCTATGGCCTGTTCTTAAGTGGCCTACAGAACCATGAACACATGAACTTTAGTACATATAACTACTTTTCCCATAGCTCTTTCTGTGAAGCACACTGCTGATTTTAATTCAAGTAAACTATTTCTTTTTTATTACCTTCAATAAAAATATATATGAGGCACAAAGGACAAGATGTATGAAGATAAAGAGAAGTAGATCACTTAAAAAAGATTTTGATGTTGTGTAACCAGTGAGATATGAAAAATACAAGAGAGGCTTGGACTCGTTTCTGAAAGAAATTTGTACATGCAGTGTGACTACTGCCATGTGACACATTTGATGTTAGTGTTGTTGTTCACAAATATTGACAATAAAGTCTATATATACTGTTTGTATTTTAGTTATTATTATATAGCACTGCACTATTGTTCTAATATCATAAGAAGAGAAGTATTAACTTGAAAAACCTTAACTGTTGAAAGGCAACATTACAGCCTTCCCTTTGGCCTGTGCAGCTCTCACTGCAGGTGGGGGGGGGGGTCAGCTGACTTACACCAAATGTGGGGACAGAAATGTCATATGAGATTATCGATCCGTGAGATGTGTTTGCAACCTACTTTCTCTGTCTATTGTGTCTATCTATACATTGTTTTCACATAGTGACCAAAGGTAACGTTGTTTAATCTGTGTAAAAGTGTAAAAGCAACAAATGACCGTTTAATGGGGATTTGTGTGCTGGACTATTTCTTGGCCTGGACCAGTTTTTGTAGAGTATTATATAAACAAGATATAGTCTGTTGATTAGTGAGCTTACCTTTGGACAGTGCCAGGCTAGCTGTTTCACACTGTTTCCTGTGTTTACGCCATGCTAAGCTAATGCTAACCAGCTGCTGGCCCCAGCTATATACAGTATTTACCATACAGAAATGAGAGCAACTTCAATCTAACTCTCTGCAAGCAATCAAAACTGCCCAAAATGCTGAAATATTCCTTTAATGTTTTTGAGAAGGTCTTGCTTTCCACTTATTGGTGCTTCTAGCTAACACTTTTTATTTTGTTTAAGTTTATTGTCTGCCATCTAGACTGTAAAGCCCTTACTTCACCAGATGCCATTTGTATTACAAAGGGTGGTCAGTAATTTAATTCTACTGAAGCACAGCAGTGGTTTCAGTCAGTCATGTGGCCAATAAAATGATTTAATGAGTAGCAATCCAGCACACAACATAACAGCTTAACCCAAGGCAGTGCTTCAATTGAGCCAGTACTCACTGGTAGGAATGACTTACTTTTAGCCAATTTAAATGTAATTGGTATACTGTTACTGACAACTCCATACTGCCACTTTCTGATGATAAGCCAGGTTTTCATTATCGCACTCAGATAGTTCCCTGCTACACAAGACCAATGACGAGGCAGAAATGTTGCTCCTTGTCCCTTGTCTGAGATAAAAAGTGTGATTATACTTGTACTATGTAGTTGGTAGTATAATGGTTATTGTGAAAACAAACATACTAGAGATAAGCCTCACACAAATAATATGTGGATATTTTGGACAAATATGTAGACATTTTTATACCAAATTATAATTTAAATTTGTTTCAAGCATAGTTTTAACTACTCCACAATCTTCCCATGAAGTAGAAGAAGTAATTGTTCCTGTGGTACACATACCACTAATTGATCACTGGCTTTGAGTTTTGCTCTTGTATACAACATCCAGGATTAGGGACTGGCCCCCATTAAACAGCAGTACCAATATGGAGACAGCAGGCAGGTACAGTAAAGCAAGTGTGGTTCAGCCAAATCACTTAGCATAAAAATGGCCCCAGCATTCAGAAATCTTTGCTTCTTTCTCTATACAGAGAAATGTGTCTAGAAATGTAATATAATGAAAAAACATTATAATAGGCCTTGCTTGTCATTCATCTTAAAGCCAGTGAACCTAATAAAAACATAGCATCACAGTATCAATGCACATATATTTTCATATAAGCACCAACCCAAACTACAGTAAAGGCGGGATGTTATTATTATTATTACTTGTTAAAACCTTCATAGAACTACATATATCCTTTACAACTGCAATCATAGTCTTACCACAAAGATTTGCCCTGGTAGATGAGATTTTCCTGGAGCTCAGTGATTTGCACAGTAGGGGGTGTGTCACTGTCCATCTAGCTGTGCACAGCTATTTTGGTGTCAAGGATGACTATGATTTGCATATTTCACCACTGACCTTCTTGAAAGAGGTCAACAGCACAGGGAAATCTTGTGCTTTGTGCTTTTTTGTCACGTACGTCTAAGGATCGACACCCAAATAAAAATCACTAAAAAGTATTACATGTTATTATTGTCAGTTTTTATACATTCCTCAGTCAGTAAGTGCATTTATATGCACACCAGAAATACAGCTTTAATTTGATAATAGCAGCTATGGCAGCCAAAAGTTTAACCTGTATGGTAATAAATCTTGTCAGTGTCAGCCAGACACAATAGCTTGC